ATTTATATTATTTTAAGTGCTTTAATTGGAAGAATTAACCATTGGATTTAGGCATTTTTTTATTATGCTTCTTTTCAAATTTTTGGGTATAACATATTGGGTTTGAGCGGGGAAAAAGGGAAGGTGGTGGTGGCTGAAAACAACTTTTTCTTTTTTTTTTTTTTTTTTATTCTTGTGTTTTTGAAAAAGCCATGTTTGGCTAATTATCTTTTTTTTTTATCAATCTTAATTGAAACTATCGTTGTAGACTTGCAAGACTTGTTCTTTTATATTGTTTTTCAATTGAATATCCGGTTTACTTCTATTTATGTGTTCAATAATTGATGAATAGATTGATTAGGAGCGCTACTCGATTGGTTTATTTATTTAACCGATTGTGAAGTTATAATTGGATTGTTATCAATTGATGATTATATGTCGATAGCAATAGGAATTGATATTCATATACGAGTTAATGTTAGTTCTCCGTGAAAAATCAAATTAAATTGAGTGAAATATGTTGGTGTGTGTTTAGCATTTAATGTTAATTATCTTTTTAGTTGTTAATGTTATTTCGAATTGAATTAAGAGCCTAGTTTTGAGATTAATTTAGAAGTCAAAGTTTTATTAATAAACTATCTTTTAATAGATTAATCTTAAGAAAAGACTAAGAATTTTAGGTTTAAACCTAAATTTATTTATTGATTATTTAATTAAAATTGAATATTTTTTTGTGTCAATGGACAAGTTTACGAAAATGGTGCAAGTATCTTTTTAATCGAAGATTTGTCCTATAGTTTTAATCTTCAATTTTTGTGTTAATTTGATCCTTATTCTTGTATTTGAATTAATTAATTTATGCTCATAACTAGTACAATCGTCCTCCATACATAATTTTATTAATTATTTTCAATTTGGACGGAAAAAAAGAACTAGATAATTCAATAAAATCCAACGTCGTTCATTGGTGTTTTATTTTAGTGTTTGTTTCTCTTTCGTAGGTCGGTCGAACATTTTAAACTTAATCATATAATCCTTGTGGGTTCGATCCTTACTTACTCGCTATTTACGTTTTAAAGTAAGATAATTTAATTTGAGTATTCGACATGTATCAAATTTTGGCATTATTGCTATAAATTGTTTTGGTTAACATGACTTGTTTGTTTATTCTTATTTTATTGATTTTTGCATGTTTTGTCTATTTTCTTGTTCTCTTAAGTGAATGGCTAGATCCTCTCATTTGGGAGAATTGTAATTTAATATAGAAACAAGAAAAACATTGCATGAGCTATGGAGAAAAGCTAGATAGATAGTCAAAACTTCTTCATTCGACATCAATATAGCCATTGATTTAGCCTATAGTAATGCTAATGATTCATAGCTTGAAGAGATGGCAAAAAACAACAATTGCACTCTTAAAGAGTTCACAACTCACGATCCGAACCAACAACCGCTCCGTATCGAGTATCTTAATCTTGATGTACCTTTTGAACTTAAATTCGATCTAATCCATCTCCTTTCTACTTTTTATAGTCTTATAGGTGAGGATCCAAACAAGTATCCGAAAAGCGTTCTATGTGATATGTTTGAGCATGAAGCCAATTGAGATTTACGAGGGGCAAATCAAGTTGAGGGCATTTCCACTCCCATTATCAAACAACGCAAAAGATTAGTTGTATTACTTGCCATCTAGATCCACTTGCCACAAGAAACGAGATGAAACGGATCATCTTAAAGAAGTATTTTTTAACTTCGGTGGTGGCCAATATTTGAAAACAAATATATGGTATTATGTAGTATAATGGAGAATATTGTATGAATACCGAAACGGTTTAAAAAACTTTATGCTAGTCGCCCTCATCGTCAAATTAGTGACCAGTTATTCATTCAATATTTCTAAAAAAGGCTTTTCTCCAAGCTGATAGAGGCATGATCGACGTAATGAGTGGAAGAGCATTGATTGATAAAACTCTAAAGGCAGACTCAAAATTTGATCGCAAATATGACTATTAATTCTCAATAATTCGAGTGTAAGGAATGACCTTCCACCAAATAAGATTAATAAATTAAACAGTTCTCCTCTTGAATTGAAAATTATTGAATTATCTTCATTTTTTTGTCAATTGGCTATGGATAAGGTACAAAAGGTTAAAACTTATGGAATTTATTGCAACGCGAGACATCCAATTGATATATGTCCGACTCTTAAAGAGGAACTTGTTGAGAAAACAAATGTTGTGGGTGGATTCCCAATACATCCTCAACGTAAATAAAATCTATACTCAAATACTTACAACACCTAAATCTCAGCTATGGTAACCAAGATGGCCTCAATCATTAGCATGGATATGAATAAGGCTAATAGACTTACCAACTTAGACAATAAGCACCTTCAAGTTTGGGTATGTCTCTAAAAGATATTTTTAAAATACTTTTTGATGTTTCTTAATTGTTTGCTATAAATTTTACTTGGAATAGATTTTTGAATAGTATATTGTAAATATATTAAGCACTTATCCGTCTTAAAGCGTAAGTAATATTTAGTTTTATTACAACGAAGGCGTAAACATTACAAAATTATCTTTTAGATTTCTACCTTAGCCTTTATGGGAAAAAAAAAAAAAAGAAGGAAATTTTGAGATGAATTTTCTAAAACCTAAAAATTATCTAACAAAACCTTACACCTAATGTCATAGAATAACAAACACTCTATGTACATTTGAACATCCCGATTTCACTAGCTTTTGTAAAGTAAGTTATCCAATTTTATTAATTTGGATGAAGTCTGTACATTGCTTTGCAAACCCAATTATATATTGTCTTATGTTATTTTTATAACTTTATATCCTTAATTTGTTTAAAAAAATTAATTAAGTAACTTTATTAATTTCATTATAGGTTAGTTTGAGTCTTTTTATTTTTGATATAGATTTAAGCTATACAAAGCTGAATCGAGGATAGGTCTTATCTAACACAAGGTCTTGAGTTGTACAAGGATAGACAATGGTACTATTTGGACAAGGTCTTGAGTCGTACAATGATAGACAAGGGTATTTTAACATAGCCAATGTCATTGTCTCATCTTTAGAATATGCTATGTAGATTGATTTGGAATAGTATTCGCTAAGAAAAACCAAATTATTACTTTTTTTTAACATTTACTAGCAAGCAAAAACAATTGAAAAAAAAAAAAACAACTCGACTTTTTTTAACTCAAGTCCGACCATTAAAACATAAATGACGTGACACAATTTTGACAATCAATGACCATTTTCAATCCATCATAAACACCAACATCACATTATTGCAGGGGATTTTAATTTTTTGATGCGTAACAAAAATCTCTCTTTCAAAATTCTCACTCATATAAGCTTGATTGTTGTTTTTATAGATTGCAACACTATCTCTTTTTAATCCGATGGATCCGTCGAACTCGACGAGTTATGTGAATTTTTGTATTTTTTTTACTAATATTATTGATTATTTTTTAACTAATATATATAAATTAAATGTGTATATATATATTTTTTAAAAATTTCATGAATATTAAATTAAAATTTAAAAAATCATTTTTTCTTTCGTTAATTCTTATACAAGTTCATACATCATTTGTAGTTTTACTTTTTTATACAATATTATGAAAAATTTTATTTTAAAGCATTTTTTTCAATTTTGGATTTAGATTATTATAAATTTTTATGTAAGAATCAATATACAAAAAAATGAATCATGTTTTTTTTGTAAGTAGAAAATTTATAAAAAAGTAAAAAAATTATTTAAATACAAAATTTTCATTAAAAATTATAAAATCTAATTTTCAAAATTTTTAATTCTATATATTTTAACAGAAACACCGCATAGCGTGAATGGTCAAATTAAAATAATTTTAAACATACCGTAGGCAACCGATCGTTAATTTCCTAAATAAAAATTTATGTACTTATTGAAAAAATAAAAGAAAAGATAAAAAACTGACTGATGGGAAATCAGTGCTGCTACGTGTCAATAGCCTTTCCAAAAATAAATAACGACCGAAGATACGAAATACTTTTTCTACCCACTGATTCGCACACCACGCCGCGTTTCGCTAACTGCAAAAAAAAAAACAGCGGGCGCCGCTTCTGTTCTATATCCTCTGCACCTGCATTCAATTCCGGTCTAGTTTAAAGTCATATAAACCAGCGGCTAAATTTAAATCAGCCTCTTCTATGCCTAGTTGAGCGGCCACTCTCTCCGTCCTTTCCATGGGAATAAAAATATCTTAAGACAAAGATGCTACTAAGAAATCTAATCCTTATCCACTTAGCAGGCAAGGTCCCTCCACAGGGTTAATAGTGTATTTAGTCCCCTCACTCTTAATTTTATCTTACTATGATTCTCCTAGTATTTTTGATCTTAATTTCATCCCTTAAACTTTATTTCATATACTAGCATATTTCTTATGACAATTGAATGACACTGGTTAATACCATATTTTCCCCAAATTCGATTTTTTTTTTGTTATTTATCTTAATATAATTTCATATTTTTAATCACTCCCTTCATCACAAAAAATAAAAATAAAAGATATATATTTTAACTATTCACATATAATAATAATAATAATCAATTATACAAATTTATCTACTTTTTACATTTTTATTCTATTATCCTTTATAGTTAAATACAGTAAAGGAAAGATACGTGAGGTGTAAAACAGCTGAATAAAATAATTAATTTTTTAAAATTTGTTATAGTAGGAAACGTTTTGGCATTTGACTATGACATTAATTATAAAAAGAAGAAGTTGATGGATGATATTTGCATAAAAAATAGTAAAAGGACTAAAAAGAAACAAAATCGAGAGTAAGGGCACCGGCAAATACACCATTAACAAGGGCCCACCATATTGCTTTTCTTCTCTCAGTATTTACACTCTTCCTCCCATAATTCTGTCTCTTAAACCTTATCTAAAACACTCGACCTGAAGCCCTCTGTGTGATTCAAAATTGCGATCAAGAAACCAAGATTGTTTAGATACGATGATAAAATCAGTTCTCTTACGTTCAATTTCCTCCCCTTTATTCATAGAAACCCAAGAGTTTAACCGTTCAAGCAAGAGATCAGTTGTTTCTTCTACCATTACTTGTTCTTCTTCTTCAAGAGCTAATAATGCTTATAATATTCCTAAACTGGAACCCTTTAGCCGAACCAAGATTGAGCGAGCTGTTAAGGAACCATCCTTGATTGAAAAATCCGAGAATGAACTTGCTGGTAAATGTTTTAAACTTGATCTCTTCTTATTATTATTTTTTTGGTTCTTTAAAGACTATGGAGTAATGATCTTTGTGTTTCTTTTATATGTAAGTTTCGATCTTTTGGTTTTTTTTGTCTGATGTAATGATTTGCTTCACGTGTCATTCGTTTCTTGATTGGAATCTTGTATGTGTTTATATTACATGGGCTGTTTTCTTGATTTTAATGATGTTCTGTTACTTATGTTGAAAATTCTGAATTTGTTAGTTTGACGCTGTTTTGACTGGTTTTGTTTATCAGTGATGTCAGCAGTGTAAATATTGTGTTGTCTTCTTTATGCAGATTATTGTTCAACCCTTGAAGGGGATGATTCTTATAGCTGCTGGAGAGCTTATTTTGAGCTGAAAGATCTTGAAGTAAGTTACTTATAGCTTTGATAATTGAAAATAGAGTAAAAAGGAAGATTTGAATTACAAGTTTCAGTTATATTAATTTCTCGATATTGATATTGAGGTGAATTTCTCGATAGCTTTGATATTGAGGTGAATAAGCAAGTGATTACAATGTAATTGACCCAGTTCATTGGCTTACTTAAAATCAGATTTTCAATGCTGTCTTATATGTTCTGTTAAAAGTTGAGGAGAATCCAATTTGTATCAAGTACTTGATAACCATTAAGTCTTAACTAGTTGTGATGTGCTGCAGAAACAGTTGCCGAAAGAGGATGTAGAGAGGCTGATCATCCAATCTGGGGGTGTTAAGTCATTAATTGGGTGCTTACATGGAATTTCATCAATGCACAAAGGGAAAATGAACGCTTTTGGTATCGCGGCACCACCAAACGTGGTGAAAAAAGGAGAGAGACTGTGTCCCATACCAGACGGTTTGCCAAAATCGCTGGAGGAGCTTGAAGAGGAAGAGAGAGCTAGAATGCCAGATTCGCCATTTACTAGAATGCTTAGAACTAAAGGAAGGTTCCCTGCTTGGTACTCTCCTGCTCCGGACCACGAAACAGATTGATAAACAAGATATGTGTAGCGTAGCAAGCTTGTGCTCGGTTGCTTCTTTGTATACTTTGTATAAATGGACGTGGTTTTGATGTGTGAGATTCTGTAGATGATATTGATCCATATGGTGTTTAGATACACTGGGATTTTTTGTCTGATCTTCCTTGGTTTTGGTTCTCTTCGTGTCTTTAGGTTGTGTCACAAAAATCTGTTTGTAACATTCAATGTCTGCAAATTTTGTAAAAACGTAATTCATGGTTTAAGAACTTCTTGTTATTTTCTTTTTTATTTTTTGCAAGTGTTGGAGTATTTCAATTTCTGCCTTCTAGGCCAAACTGACCAAGTCTTAAACGTTTCCTTCTCGCAGCACTGGATTAGAAATCAATTGTTTGGAGTTGTAATAAAAAGTTCCAGCTCGATTGCAGGATAATAATACTATTTCGGCATAATTATTACTCCATATTCACAAAGGGCCATTCTGGTGCAAATCACTGGAAATCAAAATAGCTGTTTAGTTTCTCAAGACACTTGATGCGAATTATAAGGTTCCTGGTGCTATGTGTCAATCTTGCTTTCGTTCACAGTCCTAACAACCTCAATGCAGTTCAGATGAAAATTAAGAAGCCATTTTGCTGTCCATGACTGTTTGCGGGGAACATAACCTTTGTCTTGCTCACATCATCAAAAAGAAAAGGGATATAATTAGATCAATGCCATGAGAGATTATTGTGTCCAAGGTGGCGAAGTAGGCGAACTCTTTATAGTTCCTCACATCATCAACCAAAAAACCTCCGAAGTACCACGGGCAGGACAGAAAGATCCATTTGTTACTATAAAAAGAGTGTAGATGAAGATGGTTACACCTGTTATTCTCCAAAAAAATGTTCTTCTCCATTATTTAAGACGCCATTTGGGTACCAAAAATTAGTAACAGGTTGACCTGGTCAATCGTTAGTTTTTAGTCATTCTTAGTTTAGTTTCATGAAGACAAGTTCCCCGCAATCCAAGCAAAACCTTTGCTAATGTTAGAGGTACAAAACAAAATTCTATGGTTTTAAACAACTCCACAAATTTTCGGGTGCCTATAATTGGAGATCTCTTTCCACAGTCTCGATGGCTCTCAAATCTTTCCTCCCTTTTTGCTTAATATAACATTCATCTCACCTTCATTCCCTACTATAAGCAGCCTTGGGCCTTCCAAGGTAGTCAGCAATGGCTAACCCTCTCGAGCCTTGGGCTGCTTTTTCCGTGTCTCCTTTCTTTTCTCTTCTTTCTCAACCTTCTCTCCGGCCTTAACCGATGCTGAAGCATCTTTTATTGCTCGTCGCCGGCTCTTGACATCTCGTGAAAATGGTGACCTTCCTCATGAGTTTGAGTATGAGGTCGATGTGAAAGTAACCTTTGCAAACCAAAGGCTCGGGAGGGCATACATTGGCCTCCGGGCCCGGAAAAAGGCAATGTACTCCGACCCATTTAATACAACCGGAAACCGGGTTGGTGCCAATGTGTGTGCCTATAATGGTGTGTTTTGTGCACCGGCTCTCGACGACTCAAGTCCGAGCGTTGTGGCGAGTGTTGACCTTAACGGTGCCGACATTGCTGGGTACCTTCCGGATGAATTGGGGCTTATGACGGATGTTGCATTGTTCCACATTAACTCTAACGGGTTTTGTGGAATCATCCCCAAAAGCTTTTCCAAGCTCACACTCATGTACGAGTTTGATGTCGCAACAACCGTTTTGTAGGTGATTTCCCTCTGTTGTTTTAACTCGGCCAAGTCTCAAATATCTTGACATCGGATTCAATAATTTCGAAGGTAGTTTGCCTCCGGAACTATTCAATAAGGACCTCGACGCTTTGTTCTTGAATGACAACCGGTTCACATCCACCATCCCGGAGACAATAGGCAACTCCACGGTTTCGTTGTCACTTTTGCTAACAACAAATTCACCGTCGCATTCCACACGGCATCGGCAAGATGACCAACTTGAACGAGGTCATCTTCATGGGCAATGACCTCGGTGGTTGCTTCCCGGCGAAATTGGGCTCCTTGGTAATGTGACCGTCTTTGATGCCGGCCACAATGGGTTCACGGGAATCTTGCCGTCCAACTTTGCGGGCCTAAAGAACCTCGAACTCTTGGATCTTGCGGACAACAAGTCGACGGGATTTGTGCTCGAGAGCATTTGCAAGTTGCCGTCCTTGACTAACTTTACATTCTCGTATAACTACTTCAAAGGGGAGGCTCAAGCTTGCGTGCCTCCATCAAGGAAGAATATCGTGTTGGATGATACCGACAATTGCCCGTCTAACGAGCCAAAGCGAGAAGTCGACCGGGACATGTTACCCGGTGGTGAGCCGACCCGTGGATTGCAGCGAGGACAAGTGTCTTGGAGGAGGAGGTTCTTCAAACCCCCATCCAAAGCCCCAACCCGCACCACATACTCCAAAACATAAACCAACTCCATCTCCTCCTACACCAACGACAACACCATCACCGAGCATCTACACCAACACCAACACCACCAACACTAACACCATCATCATCACCGATCCCCGCCCCTCAAGCACCCGACTCACCAAAACCAAAACCCGAGTTACCGCCGACCGTAGTTGAACCAATTAGTCCATCAACTCCAAAGACATCCTTATCGCCATCTCCATCAATTAATCCATCCGCCCCATCACTCGATCCATACAATCGGGGACTCGGTGGACACGGCGAGGCACCACAATCACCGGAGTCCGCACCGTCACCCGATCCATACAATCGGGGACCCGGTGGACACGGCGAGGCACCACCATCACCGGTGTCCGCACCATCACCCGATCCATACAATCAAGGACCCGGTGGACACGGGGAGGCACCACAATCACCGGAGTCCGCACCGTCACCCGATCCATACAATCAAGGACCCGGTGGACACGGGGAGGCACCACAATCACCGGAGTCCGCACCGTCACCCGATCCAATTGGTAATTCACCTATTGGGCATGATGAGCCACCACCACCACCACCATCTTATATATCTATACCACCATCATCTTCAATTAGTCCATCAACACCGGAGATACCCGTAACTCCATCACCGGAGGTCGCACCATCACTCGATCTATATAATCCAAGATTTGGTGGGCATAGCGAGACACCACCATCACCATATAAAACATTTACACCATCGTCACCCTCAATTAGTCCAACAGACATCGGAGATACCCGCAACTCCATCGAGTCCGCACCATCACCCGATCCATATAAAGGAGGACCTATTGGGCATGGCTATGGCGAGACACCACCATCCCCAACCCCTTCACCAAAGCCGGAGGTACCGAGACCATCACAACAACCAAAAACACCGGTTGTAAATCATCACTCTCCTGCACCGCCGGTTCACTCACCTCCACCACCGCCATCCCCGCCCCTCCAGGTGCATTCACCTCCACCACCACCGTACAATCACCCCCACCACCGGTCCACTCTCCCCACCACCGGTCCACTCTCCACCACCACCGTAAGCTCACCCCCACCCCGGTCCACTCTCCACCACCACCGTGCACTCACCCCCTCCACCACCACCGCGTTCACTCTCCTCCACCACCGGTACACTCACCCCCACCACCACCAGTTCACTCTCCTCCACCACCAGTACATTCTCCCCCACCTCCACCGAGTGCACTCACCCCCTCCACCGGTACACTCACCCCCACCACCGGTTCACTCACCTCCACATTCACCCCGCCAGTTCACTCACCCCCACCACGCACATTCACTCACCTCCACCACCAGCTTCAATCTCCTCCACCACCGGTACATTCACCCCCACCACCACCACTAGTTCACTCTCCTCCACCACCAGTTCATTCTCCTCCCCCACCCGTACACTCACCCCCACCGCCAGTTCACTCTCCTCCACCACCCGTACACTCCCCCCACCACCAGTTCACTCTCCACCACCACCACCACGACCGGTCGGATCACCTCCACCTCCGGTTTTCTCTCCACCACCATCAACAACCGTATCTCCTCCTCCTCGTGCTCTTCGTCCACCACCCCCGGAAGAAGACTTAGTCCTTCCACCAAACCTCGGATTCCAATACGCATCGCCACCTCCTCCAATGTTCCCAGTGCTACTAATTAGTATAAATGACCATTGTTTGTAGTTTCAAAAGCTGATGTACACGGCTAAAAAGCAACTTTGTTAGTTCGAACTTGACCGGGAAATATAATGTTTTGTTTTTCCTCTCTCCATGGAATGGAAGTTCTTACTTGTTTACGTTACTAGAGATTTGTCTATTTCCCTCTTTTTTTTTTTTTTTTTTTTCATTTTACCTCTTCCCTCGTCATGTGTAAGCAAAAATTGAGGAACTGGAACAATATGCTCGCTACCTCGACAATGACGATGATTTGCTTGTGAATTACATTTTCAAGGCTCGATATATAGAAGAGAATGGTCGAAATGTCTTCGACTTTTTTTTCCCGTCAATGCCACGTGATGATTTTTGTATTTAGTGTGTGTGCCATTAGATTTTATGCAAGGTATTCTTTTGTGTCAAAATAAAATAATAATAAAATAAAAAATTTAAATGATGTTATCGGAATAATTTTATAATACACCCTTTCAAGTGAATTATTTTAATCTTGAAACGGAGGCTTACCACCAATTTGTTTTTAATTTAAAAAGAAAATAGAGGTAGTAAGATTTGATTGGTAATGAAGACTTTAATTCCATATTAAAAAACATATCAACCTAAAAATTTAAGTTGTTAACCGAAGATCCAAGATTGATTTGATATTAGATTCTACCAACGTGGAATGAAAGATCATAGCCAACTCACCAACGCCTTTTCTTGCATTTTGAATGCAATTCGACACTTTCTCTAACATACACGTAACCACGATTTTAGACTGAAATCGAAGTGCCAAAGTAAGCAAAGAAAAAAAAGAAAGGAAAAAGAAAATCCTGGTCCTTCGATTCCCGAAGCACCCATCATTCCATCCTTGGAAGGGCTCCCTCCGGATCTTGCGAAAGGCCCGTCTTTTGTAACATGTAACTTTCAATCCTTGGTTCCGTCGTTTACGGAACTCGTCCTATCAATTTGGCCACTCGTAGGTTTCTTTCCGGTTATCAATTCTAATAGCAAAATTCCAAAGCCGTAGGCATCGGACTTGGGAGTTAAACATTTTTATATAGATTTGATTGTTTGTTATTGTTCGGCAGCAACTCTTTCGGGTTTTCTTTCGATGATTGTTGCCGTAGCTTCGTAGGTATCGAGGTTATAAGAAGTTTCATATCTTGAAAGGCATGCGATAAAGTCCGTCGGAATGAAGATGTTAGATGCTTTCCTTTCTCCACAAACAAGAGTTTTATCGCCTTTGGTGACTCGAATATGAGTGGAGGCCATCGCCATCGATGCGCATAGTGCTATTCGTTTTCATACTTCCCACCTAAATGGAGTAAACTGGATTCCTTCTCTTTCTAAACCATAATAACTAATGGCTGGTTAAGTTTCTATATCATCCTGTAGGGTGCCTTTCGGTTTAAGTCTACCCTATTGAAGAATCGAGAATGATCATCAATAGATGTTCAACTACATATACATTGTTCTCTTGTAAACAATCAATACACAAGTAACAATTTATCTTTTGACCATGAATAAGGTCTTGATAGTATTAATAGGAAATTTAGATGTTACAGTACTGTTCGTTACTGTTTAAAAGATATGGCCAACAAGGGAATGGTTTCTTAATCTGACAACACCAACCCACCTGGATCATGACCCGGATAAACTTATTAGCAAACCAAACACAAGACACAGAAGCAAGAAAATCAAACCATACCTTGTAAGTAACATAAAAAAAGGTTAGATCCCTTGTCCTATTCTATGAAATTAATCAGCTGCGTACTATGGTTGACCTTATGGAGGATTGAGATGACCTTAGCACTTGTCAAAGGCTTCTCCTGATAATCATCTAGGCCAGCTTCCACAAAGTCCTTTGTTTCTTGTTCCAGAGAACGTGATGACATGCCTATAATCATGCTACTTATGCCCATGATGCAGAGTTTCCTTGTTGCCTGCCATAAAGAAGAGAAAATTGCTTAGTAACTTTGCTTCGATTTAATAGAACAGGTGTTTGGTTAAATCCTCCACCAATTAAATCATTCTAAGACTGTATTTTACTTTATATTGACCGGTTAATAATCTATATACCTCAATGCCATTCATGATAGGCATGTCTCTGTCCATCACAATGAGGTCAAACCTTTTTCCCGAACAATGGAGGTCAACAACTTCCTTTCCGTTGGTAGCAACCTGATTTTCGATTCCCAACTTATTCAAGAGCTTACAATGAATGGTTTGGGTGATTCTATCATCATCTACAACAAGTGCAGTTATCTGGGTTCCCATAGAGCCACCGATATTACTTGTTGCCGTCTCTTTTCTCTTGTAACTATGTTAGTGTCAAATTACCTGAAGTTGATCTCCTATATATGGCTACAGAACAAACTAGTATAAGGTCTTAAAGAGATATAAAATCAGGAGATGTTCTTTAAAAAAGCTACAAAATGTGATTGTCCTTATTTGGGATGGCCATAATGAAACATGTTTCCTCAGAATCTTTAAAATGTTTGATCAGAAAGGATAACAATACGCTTTAAAGATATGCATGCACCAGCTGATATCTTTCTTTCCCTCCTCGATAACAGCTTTCAGTTAGTCAAATATCCTTTGCTACTACTTGTAAGATGGCAAAATTTCATGTTTAAAGAAAAGTTTTAAGTTGATACGATTTGTGGTGTGAAACAGCATTTGAAAACGATGTCATTTTCTTTCCCTTCGTGAGTAGATATGCTACCCTCCTTGCTTTGCAGATCTGAATCACAGTCTAGCATGTAATATGCTCGTTTGGCTAAAAGCTACCTATTACCATATATTTTCTCTGTCAATAATATCCCATGTTGAATAAAATAATACTTCAAGAGCATATCTTTATTGCATATTTCAGGCTTCCATTCCAGTGACAACTAAACAGTGAAGCAACTGCTGGATGTTTGATTAATTTCAGCAATCAATCAAACAGCATAGATTTGCATGCTAGAATTGACGTAACCAACTCTATATATTCCTTTATATATACATTAATTATTCACCATCTTTTGGTTTAGACCTCTGAATTTGAACCTTTTCTGAAGACTGGTTCTTGTCATCTCATTAAAGTTGGAAGTGGTAGCGATTTATGCTAGTTTGTTTCGTGCAGATGATGATGTCTATACCCTAGTCGGTGTATTCTGCTGCCAAAATTTTGTTTTAGGTAAAGTCATGGGGTGCTGAAGCATGAATTGCCAAACTGTTTTTCCAAGAACCACGTCAATCTCTCTTCTTTTGTACTAATTGATGGTTTTTCAAGTTGTTGATCAAGTAGCAGCAGCTAATTAACTAGATGACTCAAGTGTGGGCTCTCGTTTGATTTGTATTAAGGCTGGACAACCATGTTACTTGTTTAACCCTGCATGAATGATCTAATTTAGTGTTCAAAGGAGCCCTTCTTTTTGCTTCCTTTTCTTGTTGGTTATGCTTCATTCTCCTGCTCTGATCCCTTTTCAGGTAGCGAAAAAAAGAAAATACTATTGAGCTAGAAACAAACAATTCATGCAGACTCCATGAGAAAGAAAGATGGGCCGAAACAAGGGACTAATTAGTGAGCCCGAAGCAGCCTAGATTTATTCGTAATCATCATCAGCCCAGTTAGAGTGACCCATTTAAATCTAGGTTACGTATATTTGGAAAAACACACACACACACATATATTATTTTTCGTAAAAGATAGATCATTTTATATATTAGGAAGATGGATGGACTGTGTCCAAATAATTTCGGTTTTTTTTTAAATTAAAGTCCTTACTATGTAATTTATGTTTAATCAATCACTTAATTTTATGATTATAACTATCTCACTAAATATGAAATTTCATTATTTGTTACTTGTAATAGGTACCAGTCATTTAGTAATCTAAACTTGGCAAAAAATAAAAAATAAAAAAAAATTAGGACATCCATTAAGCATTATATTATTGCATTTATTAAACTCTATTTATTATTGATTTGTGTTGAAAAAAAATCAAATACTTAAGTAAAAACAAATGATATTTATTAAATGGATTAAATAATTGTTATTTTATAAGATAATAATTTTAAGTGCTTGCAAGAAATTATAAACAAACAAGAAAATAGTGTGATTAATTAAAATATATTAAATGATTATTAACAAGTGTCGACCAGATCATCATTTTATAATATACTAGTTAGTTGCTCACGCTACGCTGCCGGTCCAGTTGAACAAAATCATTTTAAAATTTAAATTTTTTTTAATTATAATTGTGTATTTAATTAATTTTTAATTTCTTTTTTAATGTTTTTTTGCTTAAAAAACCATAAATCATTTTTCTTTATGATTGATTTTAACTAAAATATTAATCAAGAATTAAAAATTTTAAAAATATTTTTTTTCATAATATTGTATTAAAAAATAAAGTTATAATTAATAAATAGACTTTTATAAAAACTAACAAATTGAAAAAAAATCTTATTTAATGCAGATGAGAAAATTAATTTTTGAAATTATCGACGCAACGTAACGGGTAGAATTAAAAAATAAAGTTAATTTTTGAAATTATTGATGCAACACAAAATTTTATAATTTTTTTATTAATTTTTTATTTAATTATTACTATTTTTTTGTTTTTCATATAATTTTTGCTTAAAAAAATTGTTTATTTTTCTTTCTTTAGGGATACCTAAATAAAAACTTGTAATATATAATTTAAACCAAAAATATTAATTAAGAATTTAAAAATAAATACTTTAAAAATATATTATTTTATAAGAATATATCCACAAAATAAAGTTATACGTAATGTATAGATTTGCATAAAATTAACCAATAAAAAAATAAAAATTTATTCTTATTTAATGTTGATGAGAAGATTATTTTTTTAAAGTACATATATTTGATCTATACATATTATATAACCGTAAGTTTGTGTGAAAAAAAATAACAATTGATTTTTAAAAATTTTAACACCCGAGTTAAATAATAAAAAAAGAACATAAATCAAAGAAAAAAAGGAAAAGAAAAGGCATATATTGCATCAACTAGGGATTAAAATTTTTATTTTAAAATTTTCAAGGATCAAAACGAAATAATTTAAAAAAGAAAAAAAAAACCTAAGAAAAAAGAAAAAAAAATTAAGAGTGAAAATTTAAAAAAAAAAAGAAAAAAAACCTAAAAATGAATAGTACATTGTGAGGGTAAAAAAAAAAGAAAAAAATAGTGAATGGTACATTATAAGGGTAAAAAAAAAAAAGAGAGAAATGAATAGTATATTGTGAGGGGGAGAACAATATTGCCATAAAAATAAAAAATTTAAAATATTTTTTTTATAAGAACATATCGAAAAAATAAAATTATAATCAATGTACAGATTTGCATAAAATTAACCAATGAAAAAATAAAATTTTATTTTTATTTAATGTTGATGAGAAGAATTTTTTTAAAAAGTATATACATATGATCTATATATATTATATAATCATCGAGTTTATGTGAAAGAAAGCAACAATTTATTTTTAAAAATTTGAACATTATATTAAATAAATAAAAAGTAAATTGATGGAAAAAAGTAGAGAGAAAAAAAGCATTTAGTGCATAAAATAAGGATTAAAATTTTTATTTTAAAATTTTATGGATCAAAATGAAATAATTTGAAAATCACAAAAAAAGCATAAGAGAAAAAAAAAAAAAACTAAGAGTGAAAATTACAAAAAAAAAAAATTCAAAACAAAACAATTTGAATTTTTTTTTAAAAAAAGTAAGAGCGAATAATACATTGTGAGGGTAAAAAAAAAAAAAAAGGAGTGAACGAGTGCATTGTGAGGGGGTAATTTTTAAAGTATATACATTTACTCTATATATATTATATAATTATCAGCTTGTGTGAAAAAATAACGATCGATTTTTAAAAATTTTAATACTCAATGAAATAAAAAAAGAACATAAATTGAAAAAAAAGACATATAGTGCATCGGCTAGGGATTAAAATTTTTATTTTAAATTTAAAGATCAAAATGAAATAATTTTAAATTTTTTTAAAAAATCCTAATGAAAAAACTAAGAGTGAAAATTAAAAAAAAAAAAAAAACTAAGATTGAACAATATAGTGTAAAAAAACCGATGATCGATTTTTTAAAATTTTAACACTCAATGAAATAAAAAAAGAACATAAATTGATTAAAAAAAGTAAAAAAAAAAAAAGACATATAATGCATCGGCTAGGGATTAAAATTTTTATTTTAAAATTTTAGGAATCAAAATGAAATAATTTGAAAATTAAAAAAAAATCTTAAGGAAAAAAAGAAAAAAATAAGGGTGAAAATTGAAAAAAAAAGAAAAAAAACTAAGATTGAGCGAGTATAATGTGAAAAAAATAACGATCTATTTTTAAAAATTTTAACACTCAATGAAATAAAAAAAGAAAATAAATTGATGAAAAAAAAACAAAAAAAAGACATATTGTGCATTAGGTAGGGATTGAAATTTTTATTTTAAAATTTGAAAGATTAAAATGAAATAATTTAAAAATTAAGAAAAAACTTAAGGTAAAAAACTAAGAGTGAAAATTTTAAAAAAAATGAAATAATGTAAAAATAAATAAAAGCTAAAAAAAAAATAAAAAACTAAGATGGAAATTAAAAAAAAAAAAAAACTAAGACGGAATGGTATATAGTGTGAGGGCAAAGAAAAAAAAAAAAACACAAAAACTGTTCAAATGAACAGTATAATAGCATGGGAACTTGATAAACCCTAGATTTTTTACATAACATGTAATTGGTTGCAAACGACTGGTTGTTTAGAACTGAACAGCCCGTCATTCGATTGTAGCTAAATCAACCAGTCTTGCTATCTAACACCTCGTTGTTCCAATCTGAAGAGAAAAAAGCTCTCCCGCACTTCTAACATTGTTTTCTGTCATAATGTATATGCAGCATACAACAACATTACTGTTAGTAAATGAAGTCCTTAAAGATGGTCTAATACACCATATCAGATCCATAGATTCCGGTTTTACACCACCTTTCAACCTCAAGTCTACTCGTGCACTTTTACTCCAGAAAAAGGCCTTGTAAATGAAGACTAGAAACTGCTCGATGAAATGCCTCAAAGAAACGTTTAGTCATGGAACACCATAATATCTGCCCACATAAAATCCCAAAACTTAAGACAAGCGAAGGCCATATTTGATTCTGTTTCTGTTAGATTGGTCGCTTACAATTTTATGTTATCGGGTTATGATGGTTTGGACGGATATCAATGGAATGCCCTTGAATTGTTTGTTGAAATGCAAAGGAAGAAGGTTTTGATTTGGTTTCCAATAATGCAATGGTGGCGGCGTGGTATAGAGAAGGTGAAATGGCGTTGAGGTTGTATTGGATAGAGGAAAGTTAATGATTCGGTTTCGTGAAGTTGTTGTTTGTACGTGGGAGAATGAGGTTAAATGTAACAACATACTTTTGCTTAGCGTTTTGAGTGCTTGTGCTGATTTAAGGAACTTGAAGATTTGGTAAAGAAACGCCTGCCTGAATTTTGAAAAAAGGATTGAGTTCGAGTCCAATTTGCAGAAAGTGGCACTTTTGATGTTAATTGCATTTGTGGGAATATTAAGTATGCTGTCATTGTTTTGCATTGGACTGGAAGCTTGTAGGCTGTTTAATTCGGTGGGAGAGAAGGATTCTATTGCTTGGACTGCCTTATTAACTGGTTATGTCAAATTGAAGCAATACAGAGCTGTTTTTGAACTTTTAAGCAAGTTTATTGTCAAGGAAGCTGTAGTTCACGATGCTTTGATCCTTGTCAGTGTGCTTGGTCATGTGCATTCCAAGTCCAAGCTGCACTTGGCCCTGGAAGCAAATTCATGGTTTTTTATTCAGAATTGGGTTTGAAATGGACATGAAGATGATTAAAGTTGGACATAACATTGCGACCCATGGGAGAATTTTGCCAATAAGCTCCTCCAGGTATGTTTAATTATGTACCTGAATTTAATTTTTGTGATATTGAACATTGTGTTGAAATAATTTAATTGGTAGTAATTTAATTTGTAATTTGGCTATTTATTTATTTATTTATCTATTTGTGTGTGTGCGCGTGCATGCGTGTGTTCATACATGTGTAGAAGTGCTGTTTTTTCCCCCTTGAAATAGCTGTGGTTTTTTATTCATAGATCACTTTGGCTCTTATTGTTTGAGTAATTCGATATGTTTAGAGTGTTATCTCTATATATATTATTACATGAAGGAATGTATGTTTTGTTCGCTATAATGTTCTTAGATAGAACAGCTGCTGAACTACATAAATATATTAATACATGTCAAGTGGAAAACATTGGATTTTTAAAGTTTAGTCAGCTAGCTACAAAAAATTGATCTTTATGGGGATTAGCACTTTAATCAACAAGCCTAGTTGTTTTTCAAATCTTTCCTGAAAATAGAAAGTCTGCTTTAATAAGGTCCCATCAGATGCTAATAAATATGAAAGGAAAAAAGCAAATAAACAAAGAATCAACCAAACTTGAGGCTTTCATGTGGTGGCTTCAGCTTTCTAAATTTAGGAAGTTCAACTCTCAATGTGTTCAATTTAGTCAGTCCCATCCTAGGAAGGCTGAAGCGGTCCTGGTATGAATAGTAGCAATCTATCACTTGCATGCCTTGTATTTACTTCTTGCACTAATCATAGGGACACTAAAATGCGATAAGCTCTGCCAAATAAATTGCGAATTAGCTAAAAGTAACACTAAACCATAAATGCATCAATGGCTGACAAAGATAACATTCAAATGGATCTTGAAATTCAGATTCTAGTTACAAAACTGAATCAGTGCATTGAAAACTTTGACCCAAAAAGGCATGCTTTGGAGTATGCAATAGGGGCAGAAATTGAAGCACTGAATAAGGATCAAGTAGAAGCTAGGGAAATATTGCTTCTTGTTCAATTTGGTGATGCTAGGAGCAATCTTCAAGTAGGCCCAAGGATTTCAGGTGTAAAGCGTCAACTGAAATATTCAGTCTTAATTGGCCATTTAAAGAGAGCAGATTCTATCCCTTGTATAGCTTTGATATTATACTCATTCCTTAATTAAGAGATACTATCTTAATTAGGATATATTAGATATATGAAAGATTTGTTTGTATATGGTAGCTTAGCTACTTTTAAGGGCTGAAAATCAGCTTGAAAATCCTATATATATTCAGAATTCTCCACAAAGAGAACACATCTTTTTGCTCAAAATCTTCTAAGTTTGTCATGGTATCAGAGCCACAATTCTGAATTTTCACGTGTTTCTTGTCCCTCTTGTTTAACTTAGCTCAGTCGTAGTTAAGTTCCTTGTTCCTAGTCATTCTTGATCTCTCAACCTCATGCCTTCAGATAAGTATGATGCCTTTTTGATCCATTTTAATGGAAAAAACTACTGAGCTTGGGCATTCCATTTCCAGATATTTGTCAAAGTGAAGGCTCTATGGGGCCATGTTGATGGCAGCAACCCTTGTCCAGACAAATACAAGGATAAGCAAGCCAAGTGGGAGGTTATGGATGCCCAAATCATGGCATAGATTCTAGGATCTGTTGAATCCAACATTGTCTTGAACTTTTGACCCTTCAAAACTGTAGCTGAGTTGTGGACTCATCTCAAAAAACTCTACAGCAGCACAACTTTGCTCGTCGGTTCCAAATTGAACATGACTTAGCCACTGTCGAACAGGACAGTCTCTCTATATCTGATTTTTACTCTAGCTTCATGAATCTTTGGGCTGAATATACTGGTATAATCTATGCTACCTTACCTCCTGAAGGTCTTACTTATGCTCAATTTGTTCATGATACTACTAAAAGGGATCAGTTTCTTATGAAACTTAGATTTGAATTTGAAGGTACTAGATCCAACCCTATGAATACAGACCCTGTCCCCTCCTTGGATGCATGTCTGAATGATTTGTTTCGCGAGGAGCAGCGTCTTCTCACTCAAAACACCATGGAAAAACAATGATCCTCTTCTGTTTCTGTGGCTTATGCAGCACAAGGCAAGCCAAGAAGCAGGAACATGAGCATATACTACCTCAATTGGCCATTACGCTTCAAATTGTTTCAAAAACTTCTGCAACTACTGCAAAAAAGATGGCCATATCATTAAGGAATCCCCTACCCGACCCCCCAAGAGGTTTGAAACAGCATATACTGCCTCAATTGGCTCCTCCAGTACTGGTGGTTCTGTGAATACAGCACATCCAACACAAAGTTCTACATCTGTTTAACCTGTGAACCCAGAATTGATTCAGCAAATGATCATTTTTGCATTCTCTGCTTTAGGACTCTCGGGTAAATCCTTCTCTACATCACCTACATGGTACTTTGATTCGGCTGCTACCATCACATGGCAAATAATGCTCATTTCCTTACTGATGCAAACAAATATTCTAGAAATCTTGAGATTCATACTGTTGATGGCAGCCATTTACCTATCACTGCCTCTGGTGATATTTCTGCCTCTCTCACTGATGTCTTTGTCTCTCCTGGTCTTACCACTAATCTTGTTTTTGTCAGTCAATTGGTTGACAATAATTGTAATGTGAAATTTTTTAAATCTGGTTGTGTTGTGCAGGATCAGGAGTCAGGGAAGATGATTGCAAGGGGGGCCTAAAATCAGACGTCTTTTTCCTCTCTAATTTCCTTTTTCTTCATGTTTTTCATTGCCTTTTGTCACTTGTAATTCTGCCCATGTTGATTATCAAGCATGGCATAAACATCTCGGACATCTGAACACTGTTGTGCTTCATGATTTGCTCAAATTTGGTTTACTTGGGAACAAAAAGTCACAATCTCTTAGTGCTGTTTAATTTGATTGCCATTTTTGTAGAGTTGGAAAAAGTAAAATTCTACCTTTTCCCTCTCACACATTAAATATAGTTCAACCCTTTATCATACATAGTGATGTGTGGGGTATGACACCAGTTATCTCTCATGCTCATTACCAGAACTTTGTCATTTTTATTGATGACTACAGCCGTTTCACATGGATTTATTTTTTGCATTCTAAAAATGAAGTATTTTCTATTTTCAAGATTTTTCATGCCTATATTCAGATCCAATTTTCTGCCAATATTAAAATTCTTCGCTTGGACAATGGGGGTGAATATATATCTCACTTGTTTCAAGAATTTCTAAACACTAATGGCATAATCTCTCAAAGGTCTTGTTCTTCAACTCCACAACAAAATGGGGTGACTTGGAGAAAGAACGGTCACTTTTTTTATGTTGTCCGCACCTTTTAATTATAGCCATTTGTGCCCTCTAGGTTTTGGTGTGAAGCTCTCTCTGCTACAGTCCACCTCATGACAAATTGCCCTCACCATCAATGAACCATCTCTCTCCCTCACTCAATTATTTGGTCACACTCCAAATTATTCTAATCTTCGTACTTATGGTTGCGTGCTATGTTCATCTTCATGCACAAGACACACAAAACTCACGGCTCAATCAGTTAAATGTGCTATTCTTGGATATTCTGTACATCAAAAAGGATTTCTTTACTATGATCCCAATTTGCTTCGTATTCGGGTTTCTAGAAATGTGATTTTTCTAGAAAATCAGTATTTTTTTTTTTTTCACTTTCCAAGATCATCTCTCTTTCCTTTTTCTATACTGCCCTTGTTTACTAACTCTTCTACAGATTCCCGGTCTCCTAAACCACTCTTGGTGTATTAGAGACACCCCAAATCAAATAAAACTACTACACTTCCCGAGTCCCCTCAACTGGTTTCCTTACTGCTGATCGCGTTCCAGCAACTGTCCCTATGACTCGACTCATTACTCGAGTCAGTAGACTTCCAGATAGGTATGGTTTTCCCAATCCTTTATCCCTGACAACCACCTGGTCCTCTATTCCTATTCCCTCCTCTTATAAACAGGCAATGGAGCGTGAGTGCTGGTGGAAAGCTATTGACACAGTACTTCTTGCACTTGAAGAAAATCAGACCTGGGATGTTGTACCACGTCCCCCATCTGTGAACCCTCTTGGCAGTAAGTTTGTATTCTCTATAAAACTTCGTTCTGATGGATCCATTGACTGTTATAAGGCTTGGCTGGTGGTGCTAGAGAACATGCAAGAATTTGGCCTAGACTATGATAAAACCTTCGCACTGATAGCCAGGATGACCGCTGTGCGAACCATACTAGCTCATGCTGCATCTCAGTCATGGCCTTTACTTTAAATGCATGTTAAAATGCATTTTTACATGGTGATCTCAGGGAAAAAGTTTACATGAAACTTCCTCTTGGTATGCCTTCTCACCTAATGATGTTTGCAAACTAAAATGCTCTTTACACGGTTTGAAACAGGCACCAAGAATATGGTTTTGAAAAGTTTCAATCCACTCTGCTCGGTTTTTCATTTCATCATAGTAAATATGACTCCTCTCTGCAAAGGACATCTACGGACGTGGTTGTCCTCCTCCTTTATGTGGACGACATTTTTGTTACTGGTTCTGATATGGAGGCCATCTCTGAGATTCAGAAGTTCTACTTTCCACATGAAAGACCTTGGCGAACTCACCTATTTCTTGGGTTAGAAGTGCATCATCAAACTCCAGGTACATTCTTGAATCAGCACGAGTATATCTGAATCAAGTGAGTTCATGTGCTCCCATATTTTGTTTTCTGCTTTGTAAAATTTACCATGAGTCATGCCACTTATTTGCCAGATCGCCTGGCAGTAGTTGATTGCACCTTCTAAGGATGATGCTGTTGCTCCTGTTGCCGCATATATTTTCATACTGCTGGCCCCAAAGGATAGTTGAAATCTTGATGGCCTGTAAGGCTACCGGAGGCTCTGTGCAGGCATCTAAAAAATCCATTTTGATTTTTCACCATTATACGGTGTCAGGTAAGCAGCAATTCCTATGGCCAGTACAACCTGAAAGTGTCAAATCTGAAGCGAACAGAAGATCATGTGTCAACCTAAGGAAGATCACACTGGAACGGTGCATTGCACAAAATTGAAGAGGATAAAAGAATTAAACATCACTTCTTCAAAATGGCCAAGATAAGGTCCGGATCTCTCAATAACACAACAATAGCCAAAAACAGAGGAGAAACTAGATTTCAGAGTTTCATTAGTCATGCTTAGAATCGTCATCTGTTGGCTTGAAGTTTTCAACTGAAGTAGCCTATACGTTATAATGATCATAGCTAGAAACATTAATACTTCATGCATTTCACACCAGAAAACAGCCATTCCTACCATTATGTTTGTTACTTTTCCTTCACTCATTCAATTTTATAACTTTCCTGACGAGGAACCCTACGAAGCAAGAAATTAAGTGGAACCACTCCATAGGAAGAGAATTTTGCCCACTCATCTCTTAGGGGGGTCAACTAATTTTTTACAAAACATAAGATTTTGCAATTTCAACATCAAGATACTCGTTTTCCTAGTTTTTTCTTTTTTCTTTTTATTTATCGAGAAGTTCGTGGTTTTTAGACTATACAATGAGAATAATTTTTTTCCATCACATGATAATAAAATAAATTAAAATCATTAGAACGTGGATATACTATATTGAAAAAAAAGCTAATAAGTACATAATAGCTAAACTATGCTTGTTTGTGTCTCATTTTTCTAATTTTACCTATGAGTAGGAAACATATCGCTTGTTATAGAAAACAAAACACATTTTCTTGGTGAAATTATTTAATTCGAATAGAGACAAGTGATTCGATTTAAACTATGGACATAAACAGAACAAAAGAAAAGCAACTCACAGTTAACAAAAACATATAAACTAATTATGGCAATTTATACGTAAGACTCAATGATATAGAGGTTTGGAACAAGAAAAAAATGATATAGGCTAAAAATTCTCTAGCACTACGCACCTTTCTGCTCAAGGCCCATTAATGTCTCTGGCATGGACCATACGACTTTTTCTTTTTCTAGCTCAAATTTAGTGCATATGATGTACTTGAAAATCAGGAGGAGAATTTTTGTTTTCTTTTCACATGGGCAAGTAAAGGAAAATCAACATCTTCAAGAGGCCGAAATCAAATATTTTTAAGAGAGAAAAATAAAAATAAAAAATAAAAAATAAATTCTTGAATTTGTCTGGTTAGGTGTCAACTGTCAAGGGCCAACTTAAGTAGTAATTTTTTTTGTTTTTTGGTAGAGACCAAATTAAGTAGTTAACCAGGGTCATTGGAGACTCATGTTAGTTCACCAAAACGCTACCGTTTTTACTCCACTTCCTTAATTCCCACGTTGAATCGGACGGATCCTCACCTTAAAATTCAAAACGAGAAGAAAGAAAAAGCTTGGAACTTCACAGGAGTCCATTTTCAATACCAATCCGTTGATACAGAACTCAGCAATGGAAGATAACAAAAACCCACCAATTAAAGAAGATAAAGAAGAAACGCAAGAGGAATCACAAACAAGCAGTGGATGGGGAGGGTGGGGTTTCTCCGCTTTCTCCGTTTTATCAGATCTTCAAAAGAAAGCTGAAGAGATCTCTCGCAATGCAAGTCTTTTTTTTTTTTTTTTTTTTTATAATTCACTCCTTCACTCTCTTTAGTATTTGTATTCTTTTGGGGTTTTTGAAATCTGGGTTTGGATTTATTTGTTTTCTTTAGTTCTCTATCTGGTTGGTTGTGAGAAAGATTGGTTTTTTAGTTTTAAAGTAGTGGTTTTTATTAAAAGATTTGATTTTGATTTTTGGATTGGAATTTGGATTTTTTCGTTTTTTTGGTGGAAATGCAGTTATTTTGGTGAACATTTTTGTTTTCTTAATTTGTCTGTGCAAATAAATGTGAGCTTGGAGTTTTTTTTCTTTTTTTAATATACTTCTATGGAAATATCTACTTGGTGATATTGCTGTCAACAGCATAGAAAATATAGATATGGATCTTACTTGGATGTTTGGAAACATGATATAGTTTTGGATTGAGTGATGTCGAAGCTATATGTTAAAATTATTTTGCTTGTGGGTTTGCCAATTGAAGTTTTCATTAGCAATATTTGGTCCTCGTTTCTTCATTTGAACTTTAAACTGTTTTGGTGTTTCTTTCCGTTTAAAGAATGTAAGAAGGAAAGGTAAGTTTTTTTTTTTTTTTTTTTCCTTCATGTAAAAGGTTGCCGTATTCGATAAAACCTTACTTGGATGCAGCCACCAAGGTTTCTACTTGGTTTTCCATCTGTTGGGAGATGAGTGCTCAAAAGGGTTAATTTTTTTATGGCCACTTGTGTGTTTGTTTATGAATTACTGAGATTATGCAAAAGGTGGGATTTTGGATTTGTGTTTTTAGATTATGTTTTAATTTGTACCAGTTATTTTGCATTGTTGTTGGAGGATTTTGTTTGGATTTCTATTTAATAGTTCTTCTTTCCAGGTGCAGGCTGCTGTTGTTGCAGAACAGGCAGCAAAGAGCATTGCAGATTTGAATGTTGCTGAGGACTCAGAATCTTCAAAAGGGGAGCCAGAGGAAGAAGAATCTGCAAGTGATAAGGAAACTGAAGATGAGAAGCTTCGGAAATCTGCTTTGGATAAATTAGAGAAAGCAAGTGAGAATTCCATCTTTGGCCAGGCAAGTTACTTGCATGTTGCTGTTTTGAATTTGATGTGTCCTTGCAGTTCCACTGGACACAGTTATGGGTGTAGTTGCTTGCATCTTTAAGATCTATAACTTGCTTTGGCTTCTATTTTCCTTTACTTGACTTCCCTTATCTACTGAATCCCGTTTGAAGGTTTATCTCATTTTCATTACACCTTTTGAAGATCTGCCTCACATCTCCATTTTATTGAAATCCATCGCTTGGCTGGTGCTAATATTTGTTTTACAGATTTTTTTTTCTGTGCACATGGGTGCTAGAAGTGCATTTCTTATTCATCTGTCTATGATATTAGTTGCCTTGTTTAATTCTGCAGACATTATCTATTTTTTTTACCTCAACATATTTAGGGTTTGAAGGTTCTTGATGACTCTGTGGAGAATTTGGCTTCAGGAGCATGGCAGGCATTTGGAAGTGCATGGAAAGGGGGCTCTGATCTAGTTCAGAAGTAAGGTTCTTTACATTGCAGCTAAGCTTGTAGTTATTTATGTAATTGAAAATCTCCTTTGTAATTGAGGGAAATTTAATAATGGGTAATCCTGATAGCCTTACAGAGTTTTCTGGTCCTTCTCTTTCTGAAACTCAATGTAGAAACTAGTTAAGAATAACAAATAGAGCTCCTATTGGGATTCTTTTCGGTGGAGTTGTTAGCTTTGCTCCCATCTTTGTGCATTATAAATTAATTATAACTTTTGGCTTGAGTGGAAGAGAAACCTAAATTGTAGAAACATTCATTTGCTATTTATTCTTAACCTTCTGTTGGAAAGAGGAGCATATGAGGTCAGGATAAGATCCAATATGAAAAAGAAATGGTGTCTAAGACCAATCTATGAAACTAAAAGGAAAATTATTGTCCCCCCTCCCCCAAAAAAAGAAAAATAAAACAAAATATAAAAACAAAAAGAATAGGAAAAGCATAACTCAAGTGGCGAGTTGCTGAGATATCCCATATTTCAAACAAGTTGTCTTATTTCCACCCTTTTGTGCCTTTTTTCCCCATGTCTTTCTCAGGCTTGAGAATTCTGCTGTGAACCTTGCGGATTCAATTCAGCATGGTAACTTACCAGTAGCAGCTGGTTCAGTTGCACCATCCTTACTTGAGGTTGTGAACACCATTGTTTTGCTCTTCCTTTTATTTTTGTTTTTTCCAAATTTCATTATTGGTTACTCTAGCCATCATGTTGCAGAGTGGAAAAGCTTTTACAGCAAAGGGAATGCAAGTACTTGAATATGTAGGCAAGGAAACCATGGATCTTCTGATCACAGAGACTGGTATCGAAGTTGAGAAAAACTCTAAGAACTCTGGAAAAGGAACTAATGAGGATCATTTACTTGAGGAGGTGACATTTGATCGGTGTTTCTATATATACGGAGGTCCAGAACAGTTGGAGGTTATTTTCTTAGCCTTTTACTTGAAACTTACTTTTGTTGGAATTAAATGTTGAAATTGTTGAATCGTAATTCTATCAGGAGTTGGAGGCATTGTCCAACCATTATGCCCTGTTATTTAACCGCAGAAAGGCTAAACTGTCATCAGAAGAGAAGTCTGCATATGATGGAAAGCTTAAACTGGTTCAGCAAATTTTTAGTTTGAGTACTGAAATGGATGGGAATGCTGCAGAGTTTGACAAAGGAAAGAAAATAGAGACTGGAAGTGAAGGAAGTAGTGATGAGATGAAAAATTTACATGATTCAAGTGTCAGCAAAGCTGCAGACATGGCTGCAGGGTAAGTTTGCTTGATGCATAATAGATTTTTGTATCAGTTTTGAAATTTCATGTGTGCTCTGTACATCTCCTCACGAGTCTGTTATTTATGAAGCTGTTTTTCAGCTTCCATTGATTACATCATCTTCTTCCTTCAAAATATCAAGATTTTCTGAAATGGAAAAAAAAATTTCCCTGTATTTATTATTGTTCCATCCCTCCCGATTTTATTTTTGAATTGTATGTGTTCTAAAACATCTAAACTTTTTTTTTTCTGCTTGAGATTGTTTAAACTTTGGATGCCCATGTTAACTTTGTTATTTCATTATAATCAATGGTTGCAAGACAGATGTCATCAGATCCAATTGTGAGTGGTGACAATTGTCGTTGGTCAACTTCAGCAATAGAAATATCACTGTTTTCTGTAGTTGAACTTCTTTTAGTTTTTGTTGTGCACATGTCCTTGAAACTTTTCCCTTCATTTTACAGGTTCACAAATGCTTTAGCAGGACAAACTTTGAATGACATTATTCAAAGGACCGCTGGAAGACTAGAAACTCTTCACTCAGAGGGGGTCCATGTACGTAGATATTTTTTATTTATTTGTTTTACTAAACTCGCGTTTCATTTACTTTTTGAAGATGGTGAAATATGATAAACTATTCATGCCTACGCAGAGACTCTCTGAAATGTGCTGTTCAGCAGTGTCTCAGCTTCTGATACTTGGTAAATCTGTCATATCCAATGCTAACAAAGTTCAGGAAGAAGATGCTGATGAGGATATGAACATTGACTGGCCTGAAGATTCTGTTGAAAAAGCTAAGGTAATACGAACGAAGGCGCAGTCAATGACAGGATATGTGGAAGCAGTTTCCAACAGCTTTATCACAGGTAGATTTACTAGACTCCCCCTTAGTTCTAGTCTTATTGGCATCTGTTCCAGTTATTTTAAACATTTTAGGCATTTCAAACGTCTACTTCATATGGTCTTTACATAATACATCTTTGGCCCTCCAGATCTTTTAGCAGTTCAAGTTTGGTCCTGAAATCATTGACCTTTGTAACAAGTTCTAAACTTCTGCCATTTAAAATGTTGGATGCAGTAAGATTCTGCTTTCTTGTTATTAAATCTTTAGTTTTTTAAATCCATCCAATCGGAGAAATCACCGGTCTTAATTGCATTTATAAGCCCATCTAGCACCGAACAGAGGTGTTCTTTGTAAGAACCGTCCAGGTAGGACAACAGTTAGGTTTTGTTAACAAAAGGCCTTCCTACTAAAATCGTTTGGGTATGCTAGCTTTTTTCTGCTGAGAATAACATGGAGTTGCTTTCTAGAAAAGAGAAGCCTGCACATGTAAAATGTAATCATGTTGGTAAATTAGAAAATGGTTGCCTGGGCATCTGGGTTTATTTAATTGTTGTTTTTCTTATGGAATGAATTTTTTTGGTCTTATAAATACTATAGTAACTATTACAAGAATCGTTAGCATGATGGCAGTCAAGTGTCATGCATATGATGGGATTCAAGACATAACCATTTATTGGTCATTTATTTATTTATTCATTCATATTTTTGTTCCATTGTGACACTGCACATTATCTACTGGTAAAAAGCTATAGATAGGTGATTTTATCTGATAGTTTGAACCTATTATTTTGATCCAGGCATCTCTGACGTAGCAGAAGCTTATGCTGCAGCTGTAAAGGGTGCTGCTGCAGATTCCCACGAAGACCTCCCGCAAACATCGATTCAAGATAAAGCCAATGCCTTCTCTGAACTTCTCCACACTGACCGGACCACTGCAGTGAGCAAACTTCAGGATGGGCTCCAATACTTGTCATATGTAGTCATTTCCACATCTATGCCTGCTGCTTGATCACTAGGTTTCTACCAGTTTCTTTTTTCTTAAGTCCCTCCACTTCTCGTTAGTTATGTTTGTAAATAGATAAATTCATTAGAATGGGTCTTGGTGCTTGATCCAAAGTCAATGGATCCACATTTAGTTTGAACATTTTATCTAAGATCATTTAAGGGTTGAATTTGAATGCTAGCCCCAAAAGTTGAACAGTTTATATCTCATGTCAGACAATATAAGATCAAGAAGAGGAAATGCTTTTGACATGATTTTTATTGATTTCTAATGCAACCAGCAGCTAGGAGTCTTAATAAGATGCGTAGACTGGACGTTTTGCACTGCTCTTGCTTGACCTTGTAGGCCAGAATGAGAACCCTGGTGCCATACCACGTTTCTCACAATAACGTGGAGAGATTTTAGATTTTATAAGATCTGAAGAATAACTAATATACATGTTTAGTAGTAATTTTATGAATCTATTTTTCAGAAAAGAGATAGATATAGAAAAAAAAAAAATTACATTTAGCTCTATTAAAAGTGATAAAAAATTTTCATGTTGGCTTAAATATTTTTTTAATTTTCTCTTTTTTATTTTTCTTTCTTCTTTGTATCTATTTTTTTATGAAATAATTTATATTATTTATTTCTTAAGCATTATAAAATCTCTCCAATAATGTACGGTACATCATGATAACGTAAGTGAAGGGTGATAACGTAAGTGCAGGGCGTACGTCTTGGGTTTTTTTAAAAAGAAAATTAGAGAAGTAATATAAGAAAATGGGACTTGATTATTTTTTAGTACACGAAAAATATCAATTCGCTATTTAATTTTAATTAATTTTGTTTTGAGTTTCTTCTTTAATATGCTTTCTCTGATTTTTATAAATCATTAATTTAACTATTATTTTTATAAATAATAATAAAGGCCTTTTTTGGATGATTCCTGTAATTTTATGATATCTTAAAGGAGTGATTGTAATTTATCCATTTTTTTTTATAATTGTTCATAATAATTTTACATCATAAAACATGATCGCACTCGTATTCTAATCATAAAAATAAAATTCATTCACATGTTCGCCCTCGCACTCTAATAAAATATGACTAGGTTCAATGCTCGTGAAAACCACTCTTTAATTTACAACATAAAACACAAGTTCTGCTAGCTTTTGCTGCTAAAAAAAAAGAAAAAAAGACCGATTGCTTAATACTAGGATTTATCTTGTACCATGGGAGATTTAGATCCGGCCTTCATTCAAGACCTTGAAAACAGGCCTACTGTCAGAGTTTTAGAGGATGAGGAAGTCCCGGTTATCGATCTGTCCACTTCGAGCCCTGGAGACAGCAAAGAACTTGTGTCAAAGATAAAAGATGCATGCAGGAAGTGGGGATTCTTTCAAGTAATTAACCACGGAGTACCTTCAGATTTAGGTAAAAGAATGGTGAAGACTGCGAAAGAGTTCTTTGATCAACCAATAGAGGAGAAGAAGAAGGTGAAGCGAGATGAAGGGAATTCTATGGGGTATCATGATGCTGAGCATACTAAGAATGTTAGGGACTGGAAAGACGTGTTTGATTTCTCACTGGAAGATCCTAGATTGATCCCAGCTTCGGATGACCCAAATGATCCGAAATTGAGGACCATAAGTAATCGTTGGCCTCAATCCCCCTCTGAATTTAGGTACCTTGGCTCCTTTTCCTATGAAGTATCACACTCTCACCATATATAGTATTATTAGAAAATGATATATGTCTATAATCATTAATGGATGGACTCGATGGTTCAATTTTTTTTTTTTTAAAAAAAAACTTTAAATGATTTGAGAATGAGTCTCTTAATTTTTAATTTCGACTTGGATTTTCTTTCAACGATTCTTAATTTGTATAAAATTGAGTACTGTGTTATGTTTTCTTCAATTCGAACAATAGAACATGACTTGCAAGTTCTTGATTTTTTAACATTCAATCAGTGAAAAAGTGCTAAAATTTAATGAATTTTTTTCCCTCCAAAACTTGTTTTTTTCCCCTTCTAATTTGTTTTTAATTGCTTACCTCCTAGCATTGAGGATGGAAAAAAAGGTTTTGGAGGAAAAAGTAAAATATTTCTGAATCATGGTATGCTTTTAGCTGGTGAAGAAAAAAAAAAAAAAACCTGAAAAATAGTTGGAGAAAGATACAATCTAAAATTGAAAGTTAAGGGACCAATTTTTAAATAATTTAAAATTCAAAGGAGGATTGGACTATTTGACTTTACAAATTTACTATTCCTAAATTATCTGGCCATTCATTGAAATATTGAATACTCGTAAACGTAAAGAATTTGTCGGCGTATATATATATATATATCCGATCAGATAGGATTTTGATTTTGTATGATTTGTAAATTATTTCCTATTAGATCATCAGGTCACATATCTACTAGTAGTTCTGGTCTTAGTGTTGCTCTTCCTCTGGATTGTCTCCTGAATGGATTGTCTTAACCAGGGAGGTATGTCAGGAGTATTCTCGAGAAGTGGAGAAGCTTGGTTATAAGCTGTTGGAACTTGTTTCTTTGAGCTTAGGCTTGCCTGCTAACAGGCTAAATGGGTACTTCAATGACCAAACCAGCCTTTGTAGGATCAATCACTATCCTCCTTGCCCTAACCCCCACCTAGCTCTTGGGGTTGGTCGACACAAGGATTTCAGTGCCTTAACTGTCCTTGCTCAGGATGATGTTGGAGGATTGGAAATAAGGAGAAAATCAGACGGTGAATGGATCCCAGTTAACCCAATTGCAGATGCATTTATCATCAATGTGGGCGACATTATTCAGGCATGAGAATCGCATAATAGATCATTGGTCAGCAGAAAATGCGTTTATAGTTCAAAGTGCCATTTTTTCCTGAATTATTGAGTTTTTTTGTGTAGGTTTGGAGCAATGACACCTATGAGAGTGTAGAGCACAGGGTGGTAGTGAACACTGAAATGGAAAGGTTCTCAATTCCAGTACTACTCTTACCTTCTCACCATGTCATAATCAAGCCATTGGAAGAGCTACTAAATGAGCAGAACCCTGCCAGATACCAAGGATATAACTGGGGAAAGTTTTATGCTAGCAGATACCGCGGTGATTACAAGAAACGGGATGTAGAAAACATCCAAATTCATCTTTTTAAGAAGTAACTTTTGTGGCTAGAGTGATATTTATGAGTCTAGTTTATGTGTAGTGGCAACCTTCTTGTAAAAATGGTGATAGAATGACTCAGTTTGCGATGCAATAAAAGATCATTTACTAGCTGGCGAGTAGGTAGGTTGCTGTTATGCTATATCTACAAACACTGATGGATTCTCAATGATCCCTAGCTTAATTCCATCTTCGGTATGAATTTCCAATGTCTATTGCATGCTAACGAATGAGGACTAAAAAATCAACATTAGATAAGTTTTCCCACTAATTTGTCCATGCAGTAACCTATCCATTGATGCAACTTGGTACCCTACACCCCACAAGTTTGATTGATGGTTGGTGGTTCTTTGTTTTTTCTTCTGTTCTCTTCCACTCTGCCTGGAAAAAAAATAAAAAATAAAAAATAAAAATAAAAATAAAACTTCGAACCCCCAAATATCCAAATTTGGTTCACCTACAATATATACCAAGTCATATTTCTTTTTTCTTTTATTTCTGAGTGTTTTTTTTTTTACCGAAAAAAGAAAAAGGAAAAATCAGAAACTGTCCATTTTCAATGTATGTTAAAAGTGTTTTCGTTTTGTTGGCAAAAGTTTATTGCAGCATCATGAAATCATAACCTAATTTGGCACCAGCGAGTTTTTTTTAATTTTATTTACAACCGTCCAAAAATATTTAATATTGATATTATAGTATTCTAAGTATAAGTCAAGCATTTTAATGGTTAACATAAAAAAGTTAATTATAGAGAAAATTTTCAACATTGTGTATTGAAGTTTGTGCTTTCTTTCTTGGAAACCTAAAAAATAATTATTTTCTTTCTTTGATCCGTTTTTTTCTAGGTCACATATACTCGTAGTTTAGTCAACTATACAACATTACAGCATGTGGGATTCATCTGGCCACCCAATTAATAATTAAGACAGTTGGGGGAATTGGCTCTAATCGCCATCAATTGGAAGTGAAGTTGTTGATTTTACCAAATTCAAAGTGCGTGAATTAGTTTGATCAAATATACAGAGTAAAAGGATCACATGTGACTCAGATTAAAAAAAAAATCTGTTTTAAACTATTTATTTAATAACAATTTAATTTCATCTGGACCAATTGTGGTTTTTTAAAATACTTTATTTCATATGGACAAATATTTCCATGTGAGACTCAGATTAAAAAAAATAAAAACTATTATTATTATTATTATTATTATTATTATTATTATTATTTATAATTGTAATGGAGTTGAAAATAGAAATCCATGAGGAAGTCGGGTTTTTTTAAAATTAAAAAAAATCAAAAACTATATATGTAATATTTATTAATTTCTCATTAAAAATATATTTTTTACAATTCTAATTCAATTGAAAATTGAAGTCCATGGAAGTCTCTGTTTGAAAAAAATCAAAAAATTATTTATTTAATAACTATTTAATTTAATTTAATGTGGACTCATTGGAATTTTTTTAACATGTGGACCAATTAAAACAATTTTAATGAAGGATGTAAAGAAATTTCAGCTGAAATACAAGTACTTTTTAGTCTTTAAAAAAATTTAACTTATTGTGTCATATATATATATATATATATATATATATATATATATATATATATGAGAGTAAATTATAAATTAATCTTTTAGTTTTGGAAAAGAATTAATTAATCTCTTTTGATTAAGAAAATAATTACTTAATATTTTTGTTAGTTTTATTTTTTAAAATAAAAAAATAAATAGATTTTATGAAAATATTAATGAGAAAAATATATTTTTAAAAATAAAAAAATATTTAATTTATTTATCAAAATTAAAGAGACTAATGTGTAATTTACTCATATGTATGATGAGATGGTTAGTTGTTAAAGTGAGAAAGAGCGGTTGGTGTTTGTGATGTGTTTGACAGATGTCTGTCCAGAAGGGTTACTCCAGCATCTATACACGCAAATGACAAATTATACTTTAGTCCTTAAAGTTTATAAGTGTATCTTTAAGTTCTAAACCAAAGAAAAAGTGCAACTATCTTATTTTTCTAGTGGCACGACCTAGAATTTTTCTCTTTCCAGTTCGGTCAATCACTACTGAGGAAAAAAAATTATGCTTTCAGATAAAGTTGTATGTAAAAAATATTTCAAACGAAATAAAATATAAACTTTAGCATCCACATTTTTCATCAATTAAAAAAAAAAACAATTTAATGAATGAATGGTATTTCCATTAGGATTAAATTACAATACTTCTTTTAAAGTTTTGTGAAATTATAAAGGATACACAAAAATTTGAAGATTTGATATTAAAAAACCCAACATGATTAAGACAAATAATATAGTTAATCTTTTTTATATCCAAAATATCCTTAATTATTAGTTAAAGAATCAATTAAAAACTTAAAACTTTAGACAAATAATAGAAAAAAAATGAGACATTATTATTTTTTATTACATGGATAATATCGATTTTATTATTTAACAATATCAATTTTACCTACCTATATAAAATTCTAGAACTGACTATTGGAACTGTTCTTGTCGAGAAAATGAAATGTCTATTTCCGTACTAACATTAGATAAGTTCTGGAAAGCAAGCATGAGTACTCTTTCCCACTAATTGGTCCATGTAGTAACCTATCCATTGATGCAACTTGGAACCCTACATCTCACAAGTTTGATTGTTGGTTGGTTGGTGCGTTGTTTTTTCTTCTGGTTCTCTTCCTCTTTGCCTAAAGAGAAAATAAAAAAAGAAAAAGACAGAGAGAGAAATGGAAACACCCCAATATTCAAATCTGGTTCACCCACCACACACCTAAGTCATATTTCTTTTATCTTTGAGCAGGGATGATTATTTGGTTTTTATTTTTTTAATAAAAAAATGAAGAAGAAGAAACAGAAATTGTCCATATTCAATGCATCTTAAAAATGTTTTTGTTTTGATGGTAAAAAATTATTTCAGCATGATGAAGTCATAGCCTAATTTAATTCAAGCGTATCTTTTCGTGAGATTTGGAATCTTCCATCCCAAATTATAGAACCATTTAGCACCTATAAAGGAAAAGAAAAATTATAAAACGATAGAAAACCTGGTAACTATCTCTACTTGCTTTCCTTGAAAAAGTCAGGTGAAGATTTTCCACTCTCAAACTGTTGTAGCCATGGGAGAAATCGATCCAGCATTCATTCAAGAAACAGAATACAGGCCCAAATTCAAAACAACAGAAGCTGATGAAGAAATCCCAGTTATTGATCTGTCTGTTTCAAGCCCCACCGACACACAGGAAGTGGTGTCAAAGATTGGAGAAGCATGCAAGAAGTGGGGATTTTTTCAAGTGATCAATCATGGTGTACCAATGGAACTAAGGCAAAAGATGGAGAAGGTAGCAAAAGAATTCTTCGATCAACCGATAGAGGAAAGAAGGAAGGTAAAGAGGGATGAGGTGAATCCTATGGGGTATCATGAGAGCGAGCATACCAAAAACGTTAGAGACTGGAAGGAAGTTTTTGACTTCTTGGCGTTGGATCCAACTTTTATTCCTGCATCTGATGATCCTGATGATAAAGAGCTAAGGGTTTTGACTAATCAATGGCCTGACAACCCTCCTGAATTCAGGTCTTCATTTTCATTTTTTTCATGTTATATGGAACTAAGTAGTTAATCCCATAACCTTAATCATTATGTTAGTGATTTTAATTAGCATAATCAATTGTCTTGGTCAGGGAGGTGTGTCAAGAATATAACAGGCAAGTGGAGAAGTTAGCCTTCAAGTTGTTGGAACTTATTTCTTTGAGCTTAGGCTTGCCTGCTGATAGGTTGAGTGGTTACTTCAAAGACCAGATCAGCTTTGCTAGGTTCAATCACTACCCTCCTTGTCCTGCACCGCACCTAGCTCTTGGCGTGGGTAGACACAAGGATGGTGGTGCCTTGACGGTTCTATCCCAAGATGATGTTGGAGGGCTACAGATAGGCCGCAGATCAGATGGAGAATGGATTCCTGTTAAACCAATTCCAGATGCCTTTATCATCAATATTGGCAATTGTATGCAGGTATTTTCTTCTGATGATTGCTCTAATTAGCTTAAGCTGAATTATGTTGCCGTTTGTCAACGATTTCCATTCCTCCTTACCAGCTGTATTTAGTCTCTCACCTACCACTGTTCCCTCTTTCTTTTTTTCTTTTTTTTTTTTTTTCCAAACAAACTAAGGACTTTGAAATCTTATGTACTAAATTAAGGTATTTTTAATCTTGTTTATCAGAAGAAAACGCTTGTAGGGATTGAATTACCATGCTATTTTCTTTGTTAATAAATTAAATATATTTTAAATGTAGTTACTAATCAATAAAGATTCTAATAAATGTAAAGAAAAATAATTAAACATTGCATCTATCTGTCTCATTCCCTCTCTAAAATTAATTAAATAAGTAAATTACGTAACATGATCTCTCATCGCTGTCATTAATTGATTGTTTTATATTTAAATATGTTATTTTCCTTCTCTTTTGGATTGCTTTGATGTGTTGTCAAAGGGATCAGTAGACAATATTTTCCTCTTTTTATCTCGTTTCTAAAATAAAAATTTTGTATTTAATATCATCATTTTCGTTGAATTCTCGCACTAATCTTTACTAGCAAAAATTAAAAAAAAAAATTATGTCTTTTGATTTAGCTTCATGATTTTATTTGGAGTGAGGTGCACATATTATGTATTTATAAGGTAAACTATAAGAAATAGTGCCTTTTGCTGGGTATGCTCTGTGATTACGATGATTAGAGTTGAAATCCAAACTCTTAAAAGAAAGACTAGAATAATAGAGAAAAATAAAGATGAACAACTTCTAATCGTTGCCTAACGTGCAGGTTTGGAGCAATGATTTGTATTGGAGTGCAGAGCATAGAGTGGTGGTGAATTCTAAGAGGGAAAGGTTTTCTGTACCATTTTTCTTTTTCCCTTCCCACTATGTGGAAATTAAGCCGCTGGATGAGCTAATTAATGAGCAAAACCCTGCCAAATACAAGGAATTCAACTGGGGGAAATTCTTTGCTAGTAGAAACCGTAGTGATTATAAAAAACGGGAAGCGGAAAACGTCCAAATCGATCATTTTAAGGCATCCGAGTGATTGGTTTAGACTTATATTGAAGTCGGTTTTATGTGTCTGTCGACATGTGTGAGTGTGAGTAATGATACATTGGATGCGTGGCCTTCCATCTGTAGTAATCAAATTAGTGACTCGTTGCGACTGTTGTTGTAAATGTTTTTCAATACCAACTTAGTCTCTGAGGCAGGAAAAAAAAAAAAAAGGAAAAGAAAGTTGGCCAAAAAATATCCTAATAAAAGAAGTGTAGATGCTTTTGTTTTTTTGTTTTTTTTGTTTTTTTTTTTTTTTGTCTCTCTTTTTGAACTGAGTGATACTAGTAATTTCATCTCCTCGTGTTTATATGTTGTACTGGAGGAAAGGTAATACAATTTTAAGGCATGGAGGCTAGTTGTGATAGTCTAAAGGAATCAATAAGTGCCTAGCTTAACTGAAATTTTAAAATATTTAAAGATTAATTATCAATATTTATATTGAAATATCTCAATATAACCCAACGTGTAAGAATGAAAAAAAATAAATAAATTGAAAAAATCATTACGGAAAGACATTTTTTAATAAAAAATACGATATTTGTTTTTTCATCAAAAGATTCAAAACAATCTAGCATTCATTTGACATTATTGTTGTCTTTCATGTACTCTTTCACTAACATGTTATGTCTTGAACACGAATTTAAAAAAAAACAGAAGAAGAAGAAGAAACTAAAATCCTATATGATTGGAATTGCTTTAGTATATGACAATTTTGACATTATGTAAAACGTGATTATTTGTAATATTAAAGGTGCTATTTGATGATAATATCAAAAAGTAAGAATACATAATTATTGAGATATTGATATGGATTAGAATGATGAAGGATTTTGCCAAAAAAAAAAAGAGAGAGATTTAAATTAATTTGAATATTGATTTTCATTTAACTATAGCATTAACAAAGAAAAAGATATATTGTTAAGTGATGATTTAAGAATTTTTTGAGAAGCTAACCCTTTCGTATTTTATCATATATTTTTATAAATTTTTATTAATTTTACTTTGTTTATTATTATTATTTGCTTTTTGGATGATGGTGAGATATTTTATAAATTTCAATGATGAAATTGAAATTTACACATGACGGGAGAGGAGAAATTAGAACAAAAATGAGAGGTAAAACTTATGGGATTATTTTAGGAAAAAATCTATTGAATGCGATATCAGGACACGTCACATTCAGGTTTCCTGGACTCTGATTTTGATCAAGATTGACATTGCTAGCCCAAATACTACCCGCAAGCCATACTCTAGACTCTAGAGCCCAAAGCCTCCTAGCCCAGCTCAATCTATATCCCTCTAATAGTCTAATTCGAGTTGAATTGAAGTTAAAATATTTTAATTATAAAAAATAAAAATATAAGAGCCTTCAGGATTTAAACAGAGACCAGACTGTGATAAGTAAAATTTATATGATATTTTTAGTTTCTATATAAATTTATTTTTTTTAATGGGAAGTGAGAGGTAAAACTTATCTCAATGCATAAATCTATTCCAAAAACACAGCTTATTTGCAAAAGAATAAAGATAAAAATATAAGTCATGGACCCGTTGTCTCTATTCTTTCTTTCTTTCTTTCTTTTTTCTGAGGAAATCCTGTATTCCTTTTGTCCATTCTTGATTAGATCTTTCTTATTCTTTTCATAGACTAAAAAGAGAACAACTAAGAATAATTAGATTCAATTTGTGATTAGGAAACGTAAAGCATCTGCAACTGCCGCAAGAACCAAAGTGAGTCCATGAATAAAAGGCGCAAATCAGGCACGGCAGTCACACTGATTTATCCAAGATTCATTGAAATCGTTTCGTTCTATGTGAAGTGAAAATTCAGTGATTTTTTAACTCTATTTATTTATTAATTTTAAATAAATGTAATTCTAAAACCATAAATAAATATTTTTGGTCAATTAATTCAAGACAAGCATGTAAGGGTTACATCGTTCTAAATTGAGATCTAGACTCTATATTTCTACTCTTTGCAACAGATTAATCCTTGATAAAATCTAAATTTGTAATTTTCTGGTAACTATTTTATTCATATAAAGAAGAGGTCATTACAATCGACAAATATGAATCATTCTCACCCAAATTAACAATCAAGATTTTGGATGATAAATTATACGGTTAGTATTTTATTCAATAAAAATGACGTGACATATATTTTTATTATCATTATTATTTTATTCAATCAAAATGATGTGACAATATAAAGAAAAGATCATTGGAATTTACAAATTTGAAACATTCTCACCCAAACAAACACGATTTTTTGTTGAGTGTGTTTTATTCAATCAACACGTCATGACATTTGTTTTTTTCTATGTATAAGTATCTTCATTATCACCAAATGTCTTCATATGGCCGTTTGGAACAAACATTGCAATGCCATGCCAGCATAAGCGTCATGACATTCCAAGACAAATTTGTCTACATTTACTTGGTTAATTCTACTCCTTATATTATACCAAAGGCTGTCCAGATTCACTTTGCATTAGACCTCCATGCTAACAAGATATAAAAAAACCATAGCCCCACCATCTTTTTGCTTACAAGTTACAAAACATCAAGAAACTAGTTAATTAGGCTTCTTGATCAACTTAACAAAAAAGAAAATCAGTATGGGAGAGGTTGATCCAGCTTTCATTCAAGCTCAAGAACACAGGCCAAAACCTGAGATCCTCAAAGCAGAAGGAATACCCCTAATTGATCTTTCCATAACCAGTTCTCCTGACACCAACTTAAACGACCCTCGTGCACTTGACGGTCTTGTTGAGGAAATAGGCGATGCATGCAAAAACTGGGGGTTTTTTCAAGTGATCAATCATGGGGTGCCACTGGTTAAGCGACAAAACATTGAAAAAGCATCAAGAGAGTTTTTTAGTCAGCCTCTAGAGGAGAAAAGTAAGGTCAGGAGAAGCGAGGAGAAAGTGCTGGGTTATTATGACACTGAGCATACCAAGAATGTTAGGGACTGGAAAGAAGTGTTAGATCTCACTGTCCAAGATCCAACTATTGTCCCAGCTTCATATAAGCCTGATGATAAGGAACTAACCAAGTGGTTTAATCAATGGCCTGAATATCCACCTAAACTAAGGTATATAATACTGTTTTCTTCTTTTTTTTTTTAAGCGAAAATTTAGTTCTTATTGTTATTTACACACAATTTAAAGATTGCATATATCATAAAACGTGTTATCATATTCTCGTTCTTCCTTTTTCTATGTGATACAGATTATTAGGGTTTTAAACCTGAAAACGTTGATCAAAAGTAGGATTAAAATTATTATCTATTTAATAATTTGATTAATTACACATTTGAAACAGAATTATCAGATGAAAATGCGATAAAGAATGAGAGAAAAATGTGATGTTTCAATAACTGTATTTTTCTTTCCGCTCTATACACAAAAAATAAAGTCCCTCTACAAGTTTCATAGTATATAACTTTTTCTGCTTGTATAGAATTTTCCTCTTTTTAATAATCAACAATTTCTTTAATTGTGTTAGGATTTTGGAATTTGAAAGATTACGTACTATCCTTCTTGTGTAAACCCGAATTCATGGGCCATATTCTGGTTTAACAAAAAAAGAAACGAAAAGAAAAGAAATCATAGACTAACGTAATCAGAACTCTTTAATTTAATTTGTAGACATTTATTTTTTGGAGGCCTTACGTACTCTATACAATCTAATACATTTCAATGAACAGAGAGATCTGTGAAGAGTATGTTAAAGAATTGGAGAAACTAGCTTACAAATTGATGGAGCTAATAGCCCTGAGTCTAGGCTTGCCAAAAGATAGGTTCCTTGAATTCTTCGAAGAACAAACCAGCTTCATTAGACTCAACCACTATCCACCCTGCCCAAATCCCGACCTTGCTCTGGGCGTTGGTCGACACAAGGATGCCATTGCCTTGACCATCCTCGCTCAAGATGATGTTGGAGGGTTGGAAGTGAAGAGAAAAACAGACGGAGAGTGGCTTTGGGTCAAGCCAACCCCAAATGCCTATATCATCAATGTTGGTGACATTATTCAGGTACATCGTTTTTCCAAACTCACAAATTAACAACTTAATCAATGCTATATGGTTTGTAAATGTTAATGTTTTCGTAGGTATGGAGCAATGACACTTACGAGAGTGTGGAGCATAGGGCGATGGTGAATTCTGAAAGGGAAAGATTTTCCATTCCTTATTTCCTTAGCCCGGCACACTACACCGATGTGCAGCCCTTGGAGGAGCTGCTAAACGAGCAAAACCCTGCCAAATACAAACCATACAACTGGGGGAAATTTTTTGTCACAAGAAAACGTAGTAATTTCAAGAAGCTTCATGTTGAGAACATCCAAATTCAACACTTCAAGATACCTGAATCAGAGTTGGCAGAGAAATTGGACGCAGCTTTGTCCATTAGCAAGTAATAATATGCTGCTGCCTATAGAGAATGTCACCTTGTAAAAATCTGAAATGGACATAGTTTGGAGATATGGTGTATCTCTTCCAAGAGATTCTTCAGTGCTCTGTATAAAAATACTGGAATTTTCTATGAATAAAGGAGAATATTGCAACCTTTACCGTTTTATTCATTATTGTTATTTGTAGAAGTTCGTTTATAAATGGAAAAATGAAAATTTTTCACAAGTCCAAATAAAAAAAAAATACAGAGTTAGAAGAAGCGTGGAACGGGAAGAGAAAAAATAGAAAGGGACTAATTTTTCTTCTTCTGTTTTAAAACAAACAAACATGGAAATTAAGAAAAAACAAAAAATGAGAAAATGCTTAAAAACAAAATGGACTTTAAAGCCCCAGTGGACCAGACCACGAACCAAGGCCGTACAAAAGGCCCAGGCACTCCTCTTCAGAGAAGCAGATGACGTGGTCTGCCTCGAAGAAAGAAGTTGACGTGTAGTCTCTATTTCCAGCAACGGGCGTCTTACCGTCTACATGATCTTCCGGGGGTAAATTATAAATTAGTCCCTCTCGTTTTGAGAAGCTAATTAATTAGTTCCTGTTTTTCAAAATAATTATTTAATCCTTATATTTTTAAATTTATTTGTAACTTAGTCCTTTTTGTTCTTTTTTTAATTCATTTTTTTAAGAAATAAAAAATTGATAAAAATAAAAATAATATTAAATTAAATATAATCAGAACTGAACAAATAATTAAATAATAGTTTTTTTAAAAATAAAAAAATTAATTAAATCGTTTATTTAAAACTAGAGGGACTAATTTATAATTTACTCATCTTCCGGATATTGTCTTACAAAAAAAAGAGCACAGACTCCAGCTGCTTGCATCGTTTCAACATCAGACAATGTCTTCTTGCAGCCAATAACGAAAAAATTGCTAGAAAAAACAAAAGTTTAACAATAATAACAATAATTCAAAATTGCCAATCCAGCTGAAGGCTTTACCGTCCGACAATAATGATATGACATATGATGGAATCATGTGGAGCCATGGGCTTGAGCAGGAGACATAAATTCACTATATATTAGTGTTTTTTTTCCTATCAATTATTAGACCAATTTTCAGATAACCAAAATGTTATATGGCCTATTATTCGAGCGACTACTAACGTTTCAGATGAAAATTTTATTGATTAATATATTGTGTCACCTATACACCCACTATTAGTCCTGTCACATTATATCATTCGATTTTTTTCTGGTATAATATATCATTTGATTTTCGTAACGTCCATCTATAAATATATGATTAGGAGGCATATTTTATTTATTCAATAAAATAGAAGGGTTAGTTTAGGATGCCCAGGATAAGCACAATATTGGTGTTTATTAGATTACCAAACCCTTTTTTTATTTGAATTTATATTTCCAGATCTCTGAGTGGATTTTACAAAAGCATTGCTAAAGAAACATTTTAGCAATTAAGAGGTGTATTAAGAGTTCAATCTAGCATATTAAAGAAGAGAATCTTAAAATTAGTATGTTGTAAAGTTGCTGTGTGGATACATGACAATTTTGGAAAAAAAGATGACGGTTGCACATGAAGAAGAGCGCTGGAGTGAAAAATATTCAGCATGGATAAAAAAAAATATATATATATATATTAATAATGAGACAAGATATAAATAGATGGCTACATTATCAAGATACGTGGAATGTCTCAATCTTACGATGAATAAGATGTGATGGATTTTTTAATAACAAGAAGTCCAGTAAAACTTTAAACCTAAGAAAATTTAAGCAATCCTCTCAAGGGGCGCCCATGAAACAACTTCTACCATGGTGTCAGCACTCAAGTCAGACTCCAGCCCCAACACTTGGTAGCGGAGTCCAAAAAGCTGATGAAGCCCAACAAAAAATAATTGGAACCTTGCACCAAAGACAGAGAGAGAACGAAGTCCGAGAAGAAATTAGATTTTTTAGTCGCGCTACGCTACGAATTAGATAAAATATACAAAATCATATAAAAAAATTATTTTGATTTAATAATTTGTTTTATGATAAAAAATAATTATAATTTTTAAATAAAAAAAATTATATTTAACTATTTTTTATTTGTATTTTTCAATTTTAGAAATAAATAATAAAGCAAATAAATTATTGATTTCTTTAAAATTTTAACACTCAATTAATTGTTGGTTCTTTTAAAATTTTAACACCTAATATTATTAAGAAATTAAAATTAAAAAAAATTCAATGTTTAGGAAAAAAAAAAAAGGAGACCAGCCGTTTACTGTTCATGTGAATAGTACACGGATGGAAATTAAAAAAAATAGTGTTTAGAGAAAAAAAAAAGAGAGCAAGCCGTTTACCATTCAAATGAATAATAAACAGGTAAAAAAAAAGAGGGGGAAAGGCCAGCGGGTGCTAGCAAAAAAAAAAAATAAAAACTTAAAAAACAAAAAAAGTCAAAATAATATAACAATGAACAGTGATTTTTACTGTTTATTGTTCCAGTGAAAAACCATTTTGCGCCTTGTTATATAGGATAATAAGTGCAAGTTGACAAGTCCACAAAGTAAAGATAGGCCTATGCATATAAGATGTGGTATAACAGGACCGCCCGTAAAGAAAAATTTAATGGTAAATTTTATTCTCATTTTAATTTGATAATTTTTAATTTTTAGCATCAAATTAAGTAAATTATGAAAGGACCGCAGCGTAGCTTTAGACTTCACGAATTAAGGCCCAAACCTAGACAGACTTTAATCGACAAGCACACCAGCTCCAATGTCTCCGATCCATCAATCTCCATCTTGTGAACCTGAGAGATGTCCATGAATATCAGATGGAGCATAACCATTTTCAAACTAAACCAAACCCAAACATAGGCTTCAAATTCAACAAATTTATACGTTTCTCATACACGAAAGAAAAACATAATAAAGGAGATATACGGTTTGTTTTGCCACAACGTGTCTGGTTTGAAACCTGATTTATTGGCCAAGGACTAAAAATTTGATGATGACATGCCATAGACTGCCTTTTGATGATCAATAAAACATACAAGCACACACGTCCACACAAATCGGAAATGCTAAGATGCCAATTCACATGCTGTAGAAAGAGAGAAGGAAAACACGAGATGAGGTAGAACGAACAAGAAGAACAAAAAGCGCAAAAGAAACGCTGAACCAGAAACAAGAACTGCCCAGAAAGAGGAAGATGAAGAACAAAGAAGGAGAAGAGAGAAAAATCGAGTCACAACAAAAACAAAAAGGGAAACATTGTGCCCTTGCCTGCACCTAAAAACAACATGTATTGTTGGGCCAAACCCAGCTCGTCCATGGTTGGACTGAGCTAATCTCACCCCAGTCCAGCCCGAAAAAAAAAAAAAAAGAAGAAGAAAGAAAAAAGGAAGAAAAATTAGCCTCAAAAGTTTTTTATTAAAAATATTATTGAATAATTACAACCCAGTGTTGCTTGAATATTTATTACATATAAATATATTAACTAGAAATTATTGAATAAATATTTTCTATTTCAACTTTTAATATTTTATAACCTCATATCCAAACAACACTATTAACCATCTATCTCACAATTTTTTCTATTTCCTAGCGATAAAACACTTGACAATAGTGACAGAAAAAAATATATATATATCAGCCATTCTACCTATCCCTGCTATTATACGATATATCAAATGAGTTACAACCTCAATCACTGCAAAAAATAAATTATTAATTTATTTTAAATTTATTTATGAATATCATCTTATTTCATAACATTATTTATCAGTATCATCGCTCCAAACCCATCTGATCATATCAAACCCGCAGCGAAGTGAGGGCTTAAAACTAGTACTGTCTACATTCAATGCATGTGAAATTAGAGAAGCGTTCTGTCTACATTAAATGCATATCAAATTAGAGAAGCGTACAGCATCTTCAACTGCTACAAGCATGAAACAAGTTTAAATTACTAATTAGTCCTTTTACTTTTTGAGAAATTAACTAATTAGTCTCTCTTACTTTAAAAATTAATTATTTAATTTATTAACCAATATTGATTACTCTTAATTTAATATTATTTTATTTAAAACATTATTATCTTTTATCAGCAATCCTTCTATTATTTTCTTTTTTTCTTTTTTTATTTCTCAAAAAAAAATCAAAATAATTTAAAAAAGAACAAAAATAATTAACTTACAAAAAAAATAAAAATAAAAAGATTGAAAAATTATTTTTTGAAACAAAAAGAACTATTCCATCCATTAGAAGGATTAATTTATAATTTACTCAAAGTTTTTAGTTAGTCCATAAATGAGTTCCTAATAAACCAAACACGGTAGTAATTAAAGATTGATTAATTAACCAAACTTTGCAATTTTGCATTTTCGGTGATCCTAATTTTTTTTTTCAAAATTAGTAATAAAAATCAGTGCTTTAATTAAAAATAGTTATTCTTCATTACCTCATAGAAAAATAATGATTGATTTTTTTGACAATAACATATGTTTGGAGATTGATAATTAATCAATCAAAGAGCATAGTTATCAAAAAGTTAAGGACATGAATACAGAAATAGAATTGATGACACTGTTTTTTTTTTTTTTTTTTTAATATCAACATTGACTGTAGATTAATTAAAACATACAAAAAAAGGTCTAAATAATAGGAATTTGCATGATAGTCAATAATTTATATCTTTTATTTTATTATTGATCATTACTTAATTGCTTCAAATTTGATCATGATTCTTCAATATATATTAAAAATATATGAATATTCAAAATTACGTTCATGCAGAATTATATTAATGAAAAATTAAGTATATAGTTGACAATAATGAAGTTTTTTAATCAATTGCTATGAACTCATTGATTAAACTTAAACACTATTAATTTCAACATAGCTTGTTGAGCATTCTTTTGTTATTGATTCTTACATTCTTTTCATAGTTGATTTTTTTGTTAGATTTTCAGGCAATATAAATAATTAATTGCATAATTTTTTAAGTCAAAATCAAACATATTTATAACAAATATGTTTAAACATAAAAATAAAAACATACATGATATCAAATACGATAAAATACATATTAAATTTAAAAAAAAATTCACAATGTTGATTGATTATTATTTTACTCGCCTAAATTTTGGAACGATTCAAATTTTTAACAAATTTTATAAGGTTATTCCCAGCAATACACGAGACATTACACTACACTAATATTTTATTTCAATAAAGTTTTAATCATAATTTTTGACGTTTAATTTTTTAATCAAATGAAAAATTAATTATTATCCATATATTCCAAGGCTTGAAAGTGTCATAAGGTATTGGATTCAAAAAACTAATCGAATTTCTCTGGACCTAAAATCTGGACTAGCATTGTCCATCTATCTCAGGAAAATGCATGTACACCAACTCAGCCCGCATATGTTTATGAAGTTATATAGAAAGTGATGATGGTAATTATCTTCGCATCCAGCCAGCACGAACGTCACATTATTTGTCTACATCTAGCCAGTTAACCCCTCTCCTAATAATACACCAAAGTCTGTCTAGGTTCACTCTGCATTAAACCGACTCTTGAACTATAAGATGAAGTTTTAGCCCCACCACCATTTTATTGCTTGCGAAAAATAAAACTACACCATAGAGTTTTATCACAATTTGAAAAAAATAATAATCGCCATGGGAGAGGTCGATCCAGCCTTCATTCAAGACCTTGAGCACAGGCCAAAAGTTGATCAGATCATCAAAGCAGAAGGAATACCCTTAATTGATCTTTCCGTCCTTAGTAGTTCTCCTAACACCAACTTGGAAAACCCTCATGCAGTTGATGGTGATCTTGTTAAGGAGATAGGCAATGCATGCAAGAAGTGGGGCTTTTTTCAAGTGATCAATCATGGGGTCCCTCTTGATAAGCGACAAAAGATTGAGAATGCATCAAGAAAATTTTTTGGTCAGCCATTAGAGGAGAAAAGGAAGGTTAGGAGAGATGAGAAGCGAGTGTTGGGCTATTATGACAGTGAGCATACCAAGAATGTTAGAGACTGGAAAGAGGTGTTTGATTTTGCTGTGAAGTCTCCAACCATTGTACCAGCCTCGTATGAACCTGATGATAAGGAAGTTACCAAATTAGTTAATGATCAATGGCCTGAATATCCACCTGAACTAAGGTACATAACTGGTTTTTTTTTTTTTTTTTTTTTTTTTGTGATAACTATTGTTGAACGCAAGTAAATATATATTGCATTTTATCCTTATTAATAAAACGATGTTAATATTCGCAATTCCTTTTGTACTTAATTTACTAATTAATTAAGTTGCTCAATTTGAATAGTAGGGGTTAAAATTTCTAACCATTTAACAATTTGCTCTTAAAAAAAAAACCTTCTACTTTATTGAATTTAATTTTTTTAAATAAAAAGAATTAGTCTAAACATTGGAAGATAAAACTAATTAAAGTAAAAGTTCTCGAAACCGGGCTGGTTATTTCAAACTCAGACCTCCTTGAGGAGAAAGATTACTAATGTCATAGCAGCTTGTCGGAAATTTTTTACCGGGAAGGGATTACTGTGAACCCAAATAGTGTATTATTGGTTGCTGTTGTAGGTTACTATAAAATGATTAGTTTGGTCCGAATAAACCAATAACAAACAATTTTGTCTACAATTTAGGTCATCTACAAGTAATTATTATTATTATATGAGAAAATACAAACAGTTGATCTTAAATAATATTCGATTATGGATTTTTTTTTTTTTTTGGGACCTTCAAACTCAGCAATATGTTGTAATATAATGCACGAACATGAGCAGGGAGGCCTTGGAAGAATATTCTAAAGAGGTGGAAAAACTAGCTTTCAAGTTGCTGGAGCTCATTGCCCTGAGTCTAGGCTTACCAGAAAATAGGTTCCATGGATTCTTTGAAGACCAAACCAGCTTCATTAGACTTAACCATTATCCACCTTGCCCTGTTCCAAACCTAGCTCTTGGAGTTGGTCGACACAAGGATGCTGGTGCCATGACCATCCTTGCTCAAGATGATGTTGGAGGATTAGAAGTTAAGCGAAAAACAGATGGAGAGTGGATTTGGGTCAAGCCAACCCCAGATGCCTATATCATCAATGTTGGTGACATCATCCAGGTACGTTCCCTAAATCACAATATAATTAGAAGATTTAGCGATCAACATTAATCAATGATTAGGCAGGCTTGTTCTTGAAATTTGTATGTTCCAACGCCAATTGGTAAATCTTTAGTTTTTGTGCAGGTTTGGAGCAATGATGCTTATGAAAGTGTGGAACATAGAGTTATGGTGAACTCTGAGAGGGACAGATTTTCCATTCCATTTTTCTTCAACCCGGCACACTACACAGATGTGAAGCCCTTAGAGGAGCTGACAAATGAGCAAAACCCTGTCAAATACAGGCCATATAATTGGGGGAAGTTTTTCGTCACTAGAAAGCGTAGTAATTTCAAGAAGCTTGATGTTGAGAACCTCCAAATTTATCACTTCAAGGTGCCAGAATCCGAGCTAGCTAACAAGTTAGAGGGAGCACTGTCCATTGACAAGTAGTCAGAACTAAGAAATTACTGCTTCCTACTCACCCTGTGCAAATCAGAATGGGACTTTGAAGCAATGGTGTCTCTTCTACGAGATTCAGCAGTATTGTGGACAAAAATAATGGAAATTGCTATGAATAAAAGTAGAATATTGCATTAATATTTACCTTTTCATTGATGTGGATTAAATCTATTCACGAGATTTCACTAATTAGGAATCAAGCACAAGAGACAATACCATGTCCTTTTCTATCGTGATGGAATGAAATGAGTAATTTATTAATGTGTAGGCAAATCAAAGATCATGGACAATAATTAATGGTCTTTCCCTATCATGAAATTTCCATACGCATGAAACAACATTTGGTATGCCATGCCAGCACACAAGTTACAATTCTCCATAATTATTTGTTTCGCAAACCAAAACAAAATTGTCTACTTCTAACCAATTCAAGCCCCTCCTACTATTTAAGTAGCATGTCTATGTTCAGTCTGCATTTAAAGTTTAAACTCTCATCAAATTACAAAAGGGAAAAACTAGTTGTTAGGCTTCAGAATCAAGTGATAAAATCTTAATGGGAGAGGTTGATCCAGCCTTCATTCAAGCAACAGAACACAGGCCTGAACTTGATCAGATCATCAAAGCAGAAGAAATACCTTTAATAGATCTCTCGATAATCAGCTCCCCTAGCACCAACGTAGATCCTTCAGGTCTTGTCAAGGAAATAGGCAACGCATGCAAGAACTGGGGCTTTTTTCAAGTGATCAATCATGGGGTGCCACTTTATAAGCGACAAAAACTTGAGAACGTATCGAGAAATTTTTTTGGCCAGTCCATAGAAGAGAAAATGAAGGTGAGGAGAGATGAGAACAGGGTTTGGGTTATTATGACTCTGAGCATACCAAGAATGTTAGGGACTGGAAAGATATATTTGATTTCACTGTGGAGACTCCTACTCCTGTGCCTGCTTCATGTAAACATGATGACAAGGAGGTTATCGAGTGGTTTAATCAGCGGCCTGGGAATCCACCTGAAGTAAGGTATTGTTTTCATGTTTTGTGATTATATTATTGCAGTCATCTTCACTCACTATTGAACTGCTGATCTAAACTATCTATTATTGTAATTATTTTCGTATTGGTGTATCTAATTTAATCAATTGCATGGCCATGAGCAGGGAGGTGTGCGAAGAATATGCTAAAGAACTGGAAAAATTAGCTTACAAGTTGCTGGGGCTCATTGCCCTGAGTCTAGGCTTGCCACAGAACAGGTTTCATGGATTCTTTAAAGACCAAATAAGTTTTGTTAGACTCAATCACTATCCACCTTGCCCAGTTCCTCATTTAGCTCTTGGTATTAGTCGACATAAAGATGCCGGTGCCTTGACCATCCTTGCTCAGGATGATGTTGGAGGATTAGAGGTGAAGCGAAAAACAGATGGAAAGTGGCTTTGGGTCAAGCCAACTCCAAATGCTTATATCATCAATGTTGGTGATATTATTCAGGTAAGTACCATTGTCTAGCTAAATCATAAGTTCATCACTAGACAATTAATCATTGGCAGGACTTAAGAATGAAATTAGTATGCATCACATGGTGAATTTTTATTTCGATGCAGGTTTGGAGCAATGAGACTTATGAGAGTGTTGAACATAGAATGATAGTGAACTCTGAGAAGGAAAGATTTTCCATTCCTTTTTTCTTCAATCCGGCACACTACACCATTGTGAAGCCCTTGGAAGAGCTGACAAATGAGCGAAATCCTGCCAAATACCGGTCATATAACTGGGGAAAATTTTTTGTCACCAAAAAGAAAAGTAATTTCAAGAAGCTTGATGTGGAAAACATCCAGATTTTTCACTTCAGGGTACCAAAATCAGAGCTAGAATAGAAATTAGAGGGATCACTGTCCATGAATGAGTAATAATAAGATTCTTCAGGGTCCATAATGCATCTCTTGTACAAGAAGCATCAAAAAAATGAAATTTGCTACAAATAGGAGGACATTGCAACATTTGTTGCCTTTCTTTTTTTCTTTTTGTTTAGATGTGCGAAATGCTAGCCTTTAACGTAAAAGTGCTTGAAAAGATTATCTATTTTCTTAAGGGGCTAACATAGCCCAGAAAGCATTGATTTTATTAATGATTTTTTGCTGGCCTTATTTGAATAATGTTTTCTGGTCAAAACCTAATCATATTTGCCATACTGCCCATTGAAGTTTAAATTGTGGGCCTATTCATATAGTGCCGATTCAAGGAACCCAGAGAAGAGAAATGGACCAAAGAAAGAAACACTTGACTTAATGTTAGGTTCACTTCTTATCTCCTTTCTAACTATAGTCAATGGGATTCTCTTACGGTCACCAGTTTCTCTTCCTAGCAAGCACTTTGTGCTAGTACATGGGTCATGCCATGGTGCCTGGTCATGGTACAAAGTCGTGGCGGTACTAAAATCCTCTGGACACAGTGTCACGGCAATAGACTTAGCCGCTTCAGGTATAGATCTGCAGCAGGCTAAGACTCTCAAATCTGTATCTGAGTATCATCGGCCGTTGAGGGACTTCATGGAATCCCTACTGCCACATGAGAAAGTGATCCTGGTTGGTCATAGCTTAGGTGGGCTAGCAATTTCTCAAGCCATGGAAATGTTTCCAGATAAGATTTCTGGGGCTGTTTTTGTCACAGCCTTAATGCCTGGGCCTGCACTCAACATTTCTACTCTTAATAAAGAGGTACTTCTTCCCTCATTCTCTCCTTTGCATTTGAAGTACTTAATGGTCAGCTGAACCATTCTTTCTTTTTAATTATTCAAATTTTGGTTAATCCAATTGTGTTTAAATGGAATGATTTTTTAGCTTGCTGCAAAGCACTGTTGGGTTCTAACATTTGATGAAAATTCAAAGACTGCCACTAGCTTATTAATTGGATGGTAGGTTTTAATTCCAAAAGCAACCCATCATAGCAAAATGACCAGAGCCAATAACTTCTCAATCAGTAATTATGGTCCACCCTTTTCTAAAAGAATTGAAAGTAGCATGGGGGGTATATTTGCCTAGCCAGATTTATGATTCTCAATTGGGATTTTGAAGGAGAGAGATAGGTATGCTTGTAAACTTTGAGAATGTTATCAAAGGTTAACTGGGTTCTGTTTTTTCCAAATAATAATAATAATAAAAATAACTATACTTCCATTTTATATATAGCATTGAGGTGTCAAACCAATTTATAATGGCTTTTTTACTTTAGCTAATATTTTTATTTCATTATTAGTGGAATGTCATTATTAGTGAAGTAGTGTTTTACGATCCCCGCTGCTAAATATTCACATCTTTATAAGATTTATTTTTGTTGCTATTGTTGAAGTCATTCAGCAGGACAGGTTCTCTCCTGGACAGCGTTTACACATACGATGATGGACCTAACAAGCCTCCAACCACACTGGTTTTAGGCTCAAAATACTTATCATCCAAAGTATATCAGCTCAGCCCTGTAGAGGTAAAAGATTCAATAACTCTCCACATTGACAAAATTTCATCTAGTCAGTTAAGTTGTCGATTCAATTATTTCTCCAATATAGGTAATGTGTTCATTAAATTGCAACCACAGGATTGGGCATTGGCAACAATGTTGGTGAGACCATTACGTTTGTTTAGTGAAGAAGACCTCTCAAAGGAACTAGTGCTTACAGCCCAGAACTATGGATCGGTTAATAGAGTTTTTATCATTTCTGAGAAAGATGAGTTATCAGAGAGGGACTTTCAGCAATGGATGATTGAGAGAAATCCACCAAATGAACTGGTGGAGGTATTAGGATCCGACCACATGGTCATGATGTCCAAGCCAAGAGAGCTTTCGGGTCATCTTCTAAGTATTGCTAGAAAATATATTTAGGATCAATGATTCAAAAGTCAGCATGATTAAAATGATGGGCTATCTTTACCAAATGGATAGCCTTTCCCCAATCTCTCAAAACAAATATAGTAGTAAATAACGTGGGGCATTGGGTTTGGATTGAAGTGGCTGCTGAGCCTATTCCTCTCAAAATCAAATGAGGTTCTTGATCAAATATGATGGAAGTAGCACGAGTAACCAGTAATTGAATTCCATTTTACTATATTTACGAGAACAACCTTGAATAAATGTACTTTGGTGGCATCGATTTACATGTATAACAGTGCATTCCTTGAGAAGACGTTTTGACGCATCGTATTGAATGTCTAATATTTATATATTTTAGGTAGCATGGTGAAAGATAAATACATATATCATAAAAGAGAGAAAATTGAACTCCGATATGCACTGTTATTTATAATATTCTTCTTCTTGAAAAAGAAAAAGAAGAAAGTAACAATTTCTATTACATACTTAACGCCCCATAATTTTTGCTTCTCAGAATATTGTAAAATTTTCTTAAAGCTTAGTCCCGTTTTCGAAGATCAGACTTTATTCAATATTCTAAACCATATCTTGCTTCTCTACTCAAATGAGACCGAAATCACAGAAAGAAACTCAAGTAATGCTGCTGTCAAATAAGAAACCAGTCCTTTCAAAGAAAGTTAACACGCAAAAGATTATGAAAAGTATGAAAGTTGATAAATTTGGTCTATGATCTACTTCACAAGACCTTTAAAGTTTAATTGATTATCCAACTAAATTAATTATTTCTGTGAAAAAGATACACGAAACCAAATCAAAGTCATATCTTCAACAGTTTCAGCAACTAAATTAAGATTAATTGTGTCCAACCTCGTTCAAAGGCCACGCTAGCTGATCCTTGGATCCACTTACTAGTTAATTATTTGGTAGGTAGCAAATATTCAAAGAGAGTGTCATAACCAAAACAAAAAAAATCACTTTCTTTTTTTTAAAAAAAAAAAAGAAAAAAACATAAACATAAAAAGAAGAAGAAGAAAAGGTTCAGAATTCGATTAACATTTATCCTAATCCTCTAACCATTTTTTGAATTGAACCTATCCCTATTGTTTAGCTAATCAGAATCACAGATTAATAACAGAAGTTGAGTTCAAATTGTATAGCTAAAATCCGAATTTTGAGGTGTTTGAGTTAGAATGAAATTTGAATTAAGATATGTATAAAAGGGAAGGGAATTCAGGGTAGAGGAGGAGGAGCATTTTTGGGTAGATAGGAGAGAGTGAAAAAGTTTGAAAAGCGAAAGATTTTAAGGGAAATAGTTGCTGCATTTTTCTGGGTTTTCTGGGCATTAGCTACAGTGTTGTTGGTGTTCTTCATTTGCTGGGTTTTTATTGCTTCAACGGTCAGCTATTTGATTCCTTGTTTCGGGTTATTGCTGGGTTCCATTTAGTTCCCAAATAGGTCTCTCAACTTCACCTCGAGGGATTTGGGACTCAATTCATCAAATTTGTAGTTTCTCCTTTAGGAATTCTAGGCAGGAGTTCATTCTACTCCTTACTGCCTTCAAGTTTCTGGTACCCTTTCGTTTGCCTAATTCCCAATCATCAACGAATTCCCGACCAAGCTGCCTCCAATTAATCCAGTCAGACGCAATCATCCTAACCTGCAAAATCAATAGCTATCACAACAACAAGGTCTCAAAATTATCCTTCATTCCTCTGTGTTTTTCTTGCCCAGGTAATCCCAATGCTAAAATCATTCCATTACTTTTTGTTAGATTAACTTCTCAGTTACTTGAATTCGAAAAAAAAAAAAGAGAGAGAGAGAGGAGGGCTGAGCAGAAGCGGGCTTGATTTTAAAAAAAATGAAGAAGGGATCCTGGTTTGCTCATGGTATATGGTGAGGGAGAGAGAGAGACGAAATAAGGAAAAGACAAAGTAAAGAAGGAAATGGCGTGAGAGAACCAGAAAAGGAGAGAAATTTTTGGAATTTATTATGAAACATTTGACCAAAAGTATAAACTTTTGTTAAGTGGGGTTCATGGGTCTGGGCTTGGTCTGTGACGAAATAAGAAAGAAAGATGATTTGGGTTTGAATGAAGGCTGGGCCGCTAGTTAAGGAATAAAAAAAAAGGGCAGAGATTGGTTCAATCCAGCCTTTGCATTCCTCCATTTTTCATTGAAAAAAAAAAAAAACAATAAAGAGATGGATTTAATCCAGTCTCCAGCCGGGAATGGAATACAATAAAAAAATATATTGAGTTAGAAATTTAAGTTTATATATCTTGTATTTAAGTCAGATTATCAGAGGGTTTAATTATTTTAATTGTTTTTTTTATTTTTATATTTTGTATGTTTGTATTTAATTTAATATTTATTTATTTATTTCAATTTTGACTTTTAGGCATACGTGCTATTAAAATATATATATATATATATATATATATATATATATATAATAATAAATTTTCTCAGCGAAGTCTCTTCTTGATAGAAATCGTCGTTTCGTGGCGAGGTCTCCTATCTAATAGGGACCTTCGTCACTAAATCATCATTTAATTTAATCGGTGTCCTCCGATGCACCGGTTATATCAAGGCTTTAAGTGGATCCGATATTTGAACCGACGTGTCGCCCGATGAAGGGGACCGACGATCGCTTCAATACGATGCCACGCTCAAAACTAATTTTTTTTTTTTATTCTATTTTTTTCTTTAAAAATCAAAGTTTAAAAAAATAATAATAATTTGACATAAATAAAACATTTTAAGAGATAAATTTAGGACTAAATTAGACATGGTACATTTCTTCGTAAAGAGCACTTTTTGGGTGAATAAATATCTTCTCAAAAGTGTAACCAACTCGCTTACCATAGAATCTCTAGACCGGTGTTATTTTTAGGTTCCTAGTTCCTTAATACTAGGTGGCGACTCCAAAGCTCCGTAAATAAACTTGTAAATATTAATCACATTAGCATTTAATTTTAGGAGTCCCGTCCGACATCGGGTAGTGACAAAGAGTATTCGATGATGCTCTTGAGGTGCGAAAAGTTCGGTTCAACGTCCGGATGCTAAAAAATTTGATCTTATTAAAGGATCATTTCACCTAAAAGGTTAAGCTAATAGATGAGGCCTTAGAATATAATTTATAATAGTTTCTAACACACCCCTCGAGATGAAAGGCCTAACATTTTAGGTATGAAACTTGCACGAGTCTACATTGTATTATGCTTAATACTTAAGAAATTGGATATGGTGAGACTTAAACTCATGACCTCAAGGTCAACCAAGCTCGATACCATATTAAAGGATCATCTCATTTAAAAGTTTAAGTCGATAGGTGAGGCACTAGAGTATAATTTATACTAGTCTCTAACGAGTCTCAACGTGATAACTAAATGAATTTAGCTAATCCATGATTATTAAAGTTCAACTTACTGACTACAAGTGATCGTTAACAAAAATTAAACATTTTTTACTTTTTCTCGTGGCTCATACATACATATAAACTGCGACCGGGGTCTGTCTTCAAAACTCCTATATCCCCAAGTTCAATAAGCCTTGAAGAAACCCACCACTCGAAGAGAAGCATGGAGCAAGCAAAGAGACATTTGATGATAATTTCCATTTTCATCATCCTTTTCAATATTGCAGCCAGTGAGGCCTTATCGCAGCCACTCCATAATTCTAGCAAGCATTTTGTGCTAGTACATGGGATCGGCCATGGTGCCTGGTGTTGGTACAAACTTGCGCCACTATTAAGATCATCAGGTCACAATGTTACCACTATAGATTTAGCTGCTTCTGGGATTGACCCACGGCAGGTCAGTGATCTTCGATCAATATCTGATTATATTAGGCCATTGAGAGATCTTCTGGCATCTCTACCACCAAATGAAAAAGTTATCCTTGTTGGTCATAGCTTAGGGGGATTGGCACTTTCTCAGACCATGGAGAGACTTCCAGGCAAGATTGCCGTGGCTGTTTTCCTTACTGCCCTCATGCCTGGTCCTTCCCTTAACATTTCCACTCTTAATCAAGAGGTACTTCCAAAAAAAACTTATTTGATTGATTAACTTAACTTATTTTTTGGGTTATTTTCTATATCATAATATGCAGTCAATTTACTAAGTTGCATTCTTCTATAGTAAAATATAAAGTAGTCCATCTAGTTTTACGAAAACAAATTGAATAGTTACTTTTCTTTATGTTGTTAAATCTATTTATAACCTTTTTATTTATTTATTTTGTTTAAGAAATAAGAAAAGATAGATTAAAAAAATAAGATGTTTTAAAGCAAAGTAGCATTAAATTAACCCTGATAAATATTGGTTAGAGGGGTAATTAATTAGTTTTAAAACAAGAAAGATTATTTAATTTGTTTTGCAACACTGGAGGGACTATTTTATAATTCACTTTGCTTGTGCATGTATTATGAAGTTCACAAGAACCCAAGGTGACCTGCTAGACGTCCGCTACGTATTCGGTAATGGCCCAAATAACCCACCAACATCTTATACCCTTGGACCCAAACTCCTATTATTAAGACTGTATCAACTCAGTCCAATTGAGGTAAGAATTTTAATAGATTCATCGATATATACATTACTTTTGATATCTAAATATGTAATAGTTTTTTTATTTGTTAATATTGAACTTTATTTAAATTTATGGCGTCAAAATGGCTTCAGGACTGGACATTGGCCACAACATTGATTAGAGCAACACGTCAGTTTACGGATCAAGAATTGTCAAGAAACCTGGTGCTAACTAGGAAGAATTATGGCTCGGTTAAAAGAGTTTTCATCATTGCAGAAAAAGATTTGACCTTGGTGACGGATTTTCAACAATGGATGATTCAAAAAAATCCACCCAATGAAGTGAAGGAGATACTAGGATCCGATCACATGACCATGATGTCTAAACCTAAGGAGCTTTGGGCTTGCCTGCTAAGAATTTCTGAAAAATATAATTGATGCCCATATATTCCCAAGTTCATGATTAATAGAAATAAGATGTTTT